AGAGGGTGCGCCGTGTGCGGGGATTGTACCAGATGGGGCTGCCAAAGGTGAGCACGGGCAAAACGGTAGAGAGGTAGAGAAGACAGGCTTGGGCGACCGAAATGCCTCGCTGGGTGTTCGCGAGTTGGTGCAAAGCGATGACCCGGGATTGGGCGCGCGCTGCCATGACGCGAATGTGATGCTCAAACGATAGGGTGCGGTCAAGCCAGAGGCCGAGCCACCTGAGGTAGGGCTTCGGCTCCAGGCGCTCTTGGCGGCCATCCCACTGAAAGAGTAAGGGTGGGTTAGAGGATAGGCCAGCGGCCAAGGAACAGAAGTGAATGAGCTCAGTTTTGGGCATGCCGACGGTGAGGCCCAGCATGCCCAGAGAGCGAGCGATGGTGGGAAGGGTGTCCCGCATGAGTGTGACATTCTGTCTGAGCGAGGGAGAAATTATAAGGAGCGTGAAATCGTCGACGTAACCTGCAACAGTCTGCTGCGGGTGGAGGAAGGGATCAAGTGCGCGATAGAGGGGAGAAGAGTATATGGTGGATAAAACAGGCGACAGGGGCGAGCCCTGGGAGATGCCGAGAGCGGCGACGGGATAGGAGGAACCGAGCTCCCCTTGTAGTTTGGGTGAGACGGAGCGGTCAGCAAGGAACGACAGGATCCACCGTACTTCGTTGGTGGGGAACCCAAGTGAGAGAAGTACAGAATGTAGGACATCGTGGCGGATGTTATTATAGTATCCCTCGATGTCCATGCAGAGAAGTGAAGCAGAAAAACTGTTCGCCCAAGCGGTGCGAACGGTGTGGGTCAGATGCATGCCCGCATCGATGCAAGAGTGCTGCGATCGGCCCCCAAATTGGGTGCCCGGGATGAGGTTCAGGGCGCCGATCTGCCAGTTAAGGCGTGTAGCCACCACTTTTTCCAAAAGCTTGCTCAGGACTTCGAGCAGGGCTATGGGATGGTACGCGCTGGGTGCCGTGTAGTCTGGCTTACCCGGTTTGGGAATGAACACGAGCGCTGCAACTTTTAGAGAAGAAGGAAGGTGTCCGAACGAAAGGGATGCGGCTAGGAAATCATAAAGAGCGTGACGTGCTGTGAACTGCCAGATCCACCGAACAAGCCGCCAGGAAGTTCCGGAGGGGCCCGGAGCTGACTGGAGGGAAGTAGAAGACAGTGCCGCGGACACCTCACTCTCGAGGAGGGGGTGGGGCGTCCGCGGCAATGGGTACGGAGGAGATACGATCGGGTGCAAGGGGGGAAGAGACGGAGAGGGAGGAAAATAGTGCTCTGTGAGCACCTGCCCGATGTCGTCAGGCAGGCTGAACGACTCATTTCGAGCGTGAATGATGGACGGCGCCGGGGTGCGTTGCCCCTTTGTCCACGAGAAAAGGCACCAGGGATTGGTGTGTTGTAGTTTGGAGGCTGCCGCGATGGCCCACTCCTTGCGTGCCGTGCGGATGACTTGCTGGAGGTCGCGCTTTGTGTTTCTACGCTCCGTGGCGCTGGTGGCGTCTTGGACTCGCCGTCTGGCAAAGTCGCAGCCATCGTTCCACCATAGTTGTGATGGCCGGTGGGTGCGAGTGCGTGACGGAAAGGTGGTGATATTGGCAGCAGCGATGGCTCGTAAGATTGCCGCGGCACCCTGATCGAGGTCACGGGTGGATGAGTAGCTAGGAGGAGGAGGGTTGGTTAGGAGGGCGATGGCGAGGGCGTCAAGCCACTCGTCTCGCAGGGACGGATCCATGCGGAAGCCAAGGTCAACTTCCGCGGGAGTGGCCTCAGTGCAAATAGTATAGGTGATGAGTGAATGGTCGGAGGCCCAAGGGGAGTCCTCGACCACATACTGTGAGAGAGCGAAACGGGGGCTGCTTGAGGCCCATACCAGGTCGATGATAGCACCCGTGGATGGATTTCCTCCGACGGTATGCATGAGGAGATGCGGTTCGGTGAGCAAATGCAGGCGACGGTCGACAGTCCATTGGACCAAGTCGTCCACCCCTTTGGTAGCGGTATGGAAGGCGCGATGCTCCCATGACCATAGGGGGTGGTGCATATTAAAGTCCCCACATAGCAGGAGCGGGACGTCAGGTGGGAATGAAGAAGATAGGAGGTGCCGGAGGCCCGACTGGCCAGCCGTGGGCACGTCGTTGTAGACATTAACGACCAAGAATTGGTCACCATGCCGCGCACGAGACATGAAAGATAATACAAGGAGGTCCGGGTGAGAAGAAAGATCAGAACGGAGCGTGATATGAAAGGAGTCAAAAAGGTGTTTCCTCACCAGGCAGCTGACGCGCGGCCTGGGTGTTGGATTGGAATGAGGGAGATGGAAAGTAACAAGATTGAAGGGAGCTGCATTGACAGTGCCGAAAACAGGGGCACCGGCTTCCGCCCCGTGCGGGGTGTCAGAACTGATGCGTCCTCACCACGGCTCTTGGATAAAATATAAATCAAACGAAGAATTGGCTAGGAGGCCATGGAGCCGCGGATTCGAACGGGCTACATTCAGTTGTGCGGTTGTAAGATTCATGATGCAGCGATAGTGGGCAGCGAAGGAATGCGGTACTGTGCGCGTGCGGTGCAAGAGGGGTCGGCAGCGTGGTGCTCGCCATGTATTCCACAGACGCGGCAGAAGAAGTGGGCGGACAGACACGGGACAGTCGCAGGGTTATTCTCAAGAGCACAGGCACTGCACGCAGCACGGTGCTGATTGGTGGTATGGGTGTCCTTGCCGCAGAAGCGGCAGAGGGGCAGTTTACGCTTGCAGAAACGCTCGGTGTGGGTCAGAGCCCAGCAGCGTGTGCATTGGCGCAGGACAGGTTTGTCCTTGGAGCGCTTTACAAGGAGCTGAGCTCCCATGAACTGAACGGACATGGAGGGCTCGCCGCGGTTGTCACGGCCAATCAGGAAACGTGAACAGAAGTCCCTCTTGGGGTCTTCGATGGAGAAAATAAGGGGCGCGCGCTCCCGCGTGTCCTCCGGCCCCGCAAAGGTGGTGAAGGCAGGTATGCCGTTGAAGTATACATCCGCGAAAACGGGATTGGTACGGAGCTCGGTCATGATTTCCTCCCCGGTGAGCAGAGCGCCGCTCACGGGGTGGCGCCTCGGGCACGCCGGAACGAAAAGCTTTACAGTGGGCAGAACGGGACGAAAACCCTGGGGCAGCGCGACGGTGCGTGCGCCCGCTGGGGCCGGAGAGGCAGCGTGGGGCTCAAGATCGAGGATGACGCGGATGGCCTGCAGAGCATCTCGGATAAGCGTATCCGGAGAGTCATGAGAGAAGGTTAGGAGCACCTTGTTTGGGGCAAGGCGCATGCCATGAAAAGTTACCTTCGACCAGGCTTCCACTTCCTGGATTCGCTGGGTGATGCGCTGATACCAGATGGCAGGGGCGGTTGCGCGAATGCGGGTTACCTGCTCTGGAGTGAGCAAAGTGTGATAGGTTTTGTCGGTCGGTGGCGGTGGCGGTGGTGGCGCCTTGGCGGCCGCCTTCTTTGTGGCTGGCTCGGCGGACGTGTTGTCCCCGCGTGCGGCTCGGGCGGCGTCGGAGAAGGACTTTGCAGTTTGTTTGCGCAGACCCGCGGGGGGACCCGGTGGTGTCGGCAGCGGACGGGATCGGGCCAAAGTGGCTTCGATGGCAGATAGGCGCGCATCAATGGTGACGGTCACCGCGCGGACGCCCGCCTCGATGCCCTTCGCAATGGCGGTCTGTATGTGCTCAGGCGCAGGGTTAGTATGCGTGGACGCCCCAAGGGGGTCCATGTCTCCAGCGCACTGTCGGATGATGGTGGCGAAAATGGCGGATGCCGCTTTGCCGACGTTCGAATGCATGACTTCCTCGTTGTTGAGGAGTCTATTCTGGACGTCCGCGAAGGAGTTTGCAAGGGTATCGACGATGTCGATGATGCCCTCGCTGAGATCCTCCGTGATAATTGGGTCTCTGGCCAAGGTGACCATGCGTAAGGGCCGTTGGAGGATGTGCTCCAGGTCGGTGAGTAAGTCCATCAGGAACGCAGTTCCCGACGGGGCTGAGGCAGGTAACAGTTCAACATTACTTTCACTGGCCAAAGGAGACTCCCCCGGGGGGGCTCGCTCTACAGTGGCGGCCTCCATCTCGACGTCAGTAGCAGTTGCTTGTTGGGCGCTTGATGAGGACATGGTGGTAAAGAGGAAAGAAGGGGGTGAATATGGACATTGGCACCACTTCAACCCTATAAAAGAGTCCACACACGCTGAATATCGTCAATATAAAATTTGTGCGAGAAAAAAACACCTAGACCATGCACATATACTGACACGTTATGTTTTCTTATTCCCCGCTCGGGGAATAACTGCTCCGGCACCTTCTCAAGTATAGAAATCTCAACTCAATTAAAAATGGTGATAGGCATTTTCATTTCGAGGAAAACGCCAAACAGTGAAACAAGATGAATCCCGCTTACTGGAATGTTGATGTTATATCCACCAAAAGGCAAATGGCTTCAAACTCGTGGACATGGAATCACAACTATATGACACGAAATGGAATATATAACATGTCAGTAAAGGCCGCCAAGCGTGTGACAAACGAAAGAGAAATATGATGATCGACAAACACAGGAGAATTACAATAAACGAGTTCTATTCGGTGCAAAGTTGGATGAACTGTATCTGAGCAATTGTAGGTGAGGGTAGGAGGGAAGGAGATTAAAATTTAACTGGAATTAGGATGCTGCTTATCAAAACCTGGCCAACACCGTATCTTGATATGAGGCTGCATTTCATCGAGAAAATTAAAGACGTGCTTGGCTATGAATGGTCCGGCAATAAGTTCCACCATGGAAAGGAGTGCCTGCTCGATCGCAGGTATCTTGGGAGAGAGAAAGTGGTACTTTTCCCCTTTGTATGATGGACTGTCCAGTGAATAACTCAACCTCATGAGCACACCATGGACAGCTGATCGTGAGTGGGAGCGCATTGCTGACTCCTGCCAAACAGGATCCATGAGAATGATCGGTCCATACTGCCAGATTTCAGATAAAGGTTGCAATACAGATACTGATGTAATGCATCATGATAAACATTTCATACATTTGATTATAGCCAGTAATCTCGTTGTGCAGTGACTTGCTCCATTGTCGATACTGTGGAGCCACCGCTTCCCAAGCTGTTTTCTCTGAAACCCCTGAGAAATATTGAGGATACTGATATTTGAACATCTTGCGAAATAATTGTCCACGGCTGAACCGGTCAACCTTGGCATAGTCTACGGACCACAGAATAATGTCAATACGGCTAAGAAACCGTTCAACAAAAGTCTGGGCAGATGTGATGGTTCGCCATCGGTGAATGAGCTGTGCATAGTGGTCAATAAAATGAATAAACAAATCGCAAGCGTTTTCACCGCAGAGCGTAACGTCAGCCGGTCAATGACTTCTCTAGTTGCTGCAACATCAACCGAATCTCGAGTGTGCTCAACCGCATCCATACCAGTGCACCAAGCGGGATCCTCAAACAACTTTGCCTGCAGAATTCAACAAATGTCAGATGACATTGAAACTGTCGCAAATAAGACTTACCCATTCTGACTTATTCGCCCATAATACACCGGCGCATATACGCTGAAAGCCATCCTTGTCCTGCTTGCTATGTATCCCACTCGGATGATCCATCACCATATCATGGAACTCGACAGGGAGTAGAGGATGTATCTGGAGATAATTGAGAAACTCCACGATAAGGCGTCCAATCTTGTCCTGTTGATCATCAGCTTTTACAGGACCAATTAGCATTAAAAAAATGATATATGCGCATACACTCACCGCAACCTCCTCCACCATAGACTCTTCCCGATCACTGTGGTCCTCATTGTCACCTATCAATTCAACCTGTTCCCCCTCCTCCTCATCACCAAAGAGTGTGGCAAGAATCTCTGAATCAATTTTGTCATCTTCAGAAATCTCACCACTCCTCTCAATTGCGGTGATCTGCAAAGTATTGGTATCCTCGTCTACGACCTCGTCGACCACCTCTTCGTCCACATTTTCATCTCCTTCGTTTTCGTCAACAAGATCCTCAACGGACAAGGCAACAGGAGCAGACATGTCTGGTTCAGCATCGTCGACATCGATATTGGCTACATTCAGCGAGGCAATGTATGGAGGACTGAGGATCCTGTTTCAGTTGTGATGCATTACGAGGGTACTCCTTCACAGAGGAATGTCATCGGAACCTTCATCATCTGATGTAGCAGCGACAGGAGGTGTACAGAAAGCAGCAACTAGGGTAAGATCCTTGAGAACAGGCTCAACCACACTAAGACAATGCGATGGAGGCTGATCTGCAACAGCCGCAATAGAAGTGCATTTTTTATGCAATCAGGCCATGACATAAAAAGGTAATGATGGCTGACCTGCGACATGTACCACAGATGGGGCTTTGTCAATGCAAGGAGGGATGAGGGAAGGGGAAGGGTAAAGTCAGCGATGACGGGCCTCCTCAGTGAGCAACACAAGGGCTTTCTGAACTGCCGTACGGTGAGCTGCAACTTCGTCTTCAACATCAGAATCTTCGTTCGTCAAATCAGCTACACCACGATGAGCTTCAGCCAGATTTTCACAGATTTTCTGAAGCTTGAGGATGTGAGAAGGCATGTTGCGAGACTGTGAGGTAAAAGCGAAATGATACGACAACGAGAGGAGTCTTGTATGACACAGAAATGGAATCACATGTAAGGAAAAGTGATGACAACAGGATGGAGTGCAAATGCTGTCGTGAAACGTGTCAGTGGCACGTCAAAACGTCACGTCAAAATGTCACGTGACCGTGCAGCGCATATAGTCAGATAATCTCGCACACAACAGATCACTCTAACCCCTCCCCCCCTCTGTACATCAATTCAAGCAATCCCTAATCATCTATATGCAATGTCTGAAGAGACTGTCACCGTAAAAGTCTCGAATGATGAGGTTGAGAAGGTGTATGAGTCAATCCTGCCTCTCAATGCTGAAACCTCTCTAGTCGAATATTGGAGGAAGAAACGGGATGGTGAACTGGAAGGGTGACCCTTTCAGAGCCTCTCACCATAGACCGAACTGACATAATTAACAGCCCTACTGAGAAGTGCTTCATGCAGGGAAACACTGTCTACAGTAAAGTCAACAAAATCGACGAGTGCGATGATATTAACTCGATGGACGCAGTACCCAGAAAAGACAACCCTCATCAGTTCCAATGGGTTCAAATCATTAAAAAGGGGGAGAAGTTACCACCATCATGGGAACTGTTGGATGAGAGCGACTTTTACGATAAGAGGAACAACGGTAAACGTTCTGCCAGATTAGTTCTGATTCAACACACTAAATAAGTGGAATAAATAGTTACCTGCAGCTCTAGCACTAGAGAGGCACGGGGTAGTGGCGACGACTCATGTGATGCCGAGCTAGGAGTAACCTTGATAAAAGGTAAGATAGCCGGCCCTGGAAGCATGTCGAACGCCCACGTTAGGGATTCCAAGAGCGTCCCACTTCATGGGGACAATATCTGCAATGAAGCTAGCAATAAGGTGTCAAACCTCCCCAAGAAATGCATGAAAAAAAACTCGGTGAGTGAGTCGCCAACCTAAAATATTACATCTAAACTTTCTACAGAAAAAGAGAACATCAGAAAATGACAAACCATCTACATGCAGCCAAAAAAAGAAGAGGATATCCGTACAGCTGTCGTCTGATGATGACTGAGAGCCATTAGAATAGGCGCATACATGAGATTACAATTTTTCGGTGCTTCGAGTCATATCTTGGTAGCATATACCTTGGAACGGAATGTATAAGCAGTGTGAATGTGACATAAACACGTGAACAAGGAGAAACTGCGACTTGAGTGAAGGAAAACCCAACAGTCAAATACTTCGTCTTACTGACATGTCATAAAAACAATACATTGAAGCGTTGCAAATTGACGAGTGTAGCCAGGATGAATCCGAAATAAGGAAAAAAGCATAGAAACTGTGAGGAATGATTTTCAAAAAGACAGGACAGATGAAATACGACTATGTCAAAAAATTACACCCTTTCTGACATGTCATAAACCAAAACATCCAGAACCAGAATTGTTCACATAAAGATAGTGACAGGTATGATGAATGGCACTTAACTCACAATAGACAGTGATAAATATCATTTATATAGATCATGCCTGCACACGGTGGGTCAACCGTGAACGAAGTTTTCCATATTTTATGACATGTCAGTAATTACCACATTTCGAACGCGAAATCATCACAAACACATTGAGGGCCATATAATGGTCTGTGCATTACTAAAACCACAGGGGCATGTCCCAGAACGAAGGAGTACCACACTTACCTGAACAGACTGAGGTCCGATAGAGAGCTGCCATCCTGATCACTGGATGAATAAAAGACGAACCAAACCTGCCAGATGTACCGTCATACAGAGTATAACTCCGTATCACAGCTTCTACATCACAAAACAAGCCTGGTAAGCAATACAAACGATGAAAGAACTCTCACCAGTCGTGCTCCCAAACTTGTCTGACCTCCAACAACCAACCGTACACCCTCTAGCCATGCCGATACCCAGAGAACAATGTTGAAATGGTGTATAACCCGTAGCAACAGCCTTGTACCTGGCGCAAGCAGAGATCGGCCACAAAGTGTTGGAAAAGGTGCTGGAGAACAGGCGCCTAAGGAGTGGTTGGAAAAAACGGACTAGGGAACATTTAATACAGTTGCGCTGGGTCCAGAAACAGGCGACAGTGTAGGGAAGAAGGGAAACAAGCTTGTGCAAGTGCCGCGCAAGACAGAGCTATTGTGTAAGACGAGATGGATGACGTTGTCTGTGACAGTACCTCACGAGGATACCAAGGAGATTGCCGATGGTGCCAAGTGATCGGAACACAACATCAGCGTTGCACCACAGTTGCGCCGGACCAATGGGATGCCGAGCTTGCTGTTGAGGGTGTCCACAAGCCCACAACATCTCAATTAAATTGCGTACATTGAAAACAAAATCCATGGCTCCAAGGGGCTTGGAGCCATTGGCATATAGATAGCATTCCATAACGTTCCATTTTTCTCACATCGACTCACAAAACTTATGTTCCGATGCCTCTGTATGATGTGCCCCACCAACGCTGCTTTGTTTGACCATAAATCTCAAATATAATGATCATATATGGATCGTGGACCTTTTGTTTGCATTTACGCATTCTCAACACGATTGTTACACGCCGGTTACAACCGGTTATCTTACCGATCAGAAGTACTAAGTGATTGATTATCAACGGTCAGTGAGTTGCAGCGATTTCTTACTGCATCTATGTATATTCACGCATTCAAATGTTCGGTGGTTAATGAAATAACAGCTTGCATTGTTGTGAAGAAAGGTACAGAGGACACTATGCAACGTTACAAGGCGTTGAAGCCGTGGCAGGCAAGCTTCATAGCACATGAAAATGCGGACAAAATGAGGGACAAAGAAGCGGAATGTATGGCTGCTGGTTCAACACTTTGTGCGCAAGCAATCCTGTGGTCTAATTAACCTACCATGAGGGCGATGTTCCAAGGTCGAGCGAGTGGCCGTGTAGTGGTTGGTGTTGATCGGTGAGCAGTTACGTGAAGGTGAAATCGACCTCCGTCGATTGTACGCGTGGATGTGAATGCCAAAAAACCGTGGCACTTGAGAACCGCAAGCCGTCGTACCACCCAGGATCGTATTCGGGTCTAACAACAGCGGCTTTAAGAGCCACACGCATGTATAAAACGCGGCACATACGGCAGAGGAATACTCCCGCGATGTTGCCCAGCACACCGAAAGGAAGACGCAGCATCCATCTCTCTGCAGTGAGGTTCGAACATCGCGTGAAGGCGGTGACTGTGTTGCTGTGGACATAAACGATATACCTTGTTTCCAGAATTATACCAGACCATTGTACCCGCCTGAGCAAAGAGCAGCGGCGCTACGTGAACAACCCCGAGATGAAGTCGTCCAAAGCAACTTTCTGCAAAACCATGTCAGCTATACGCGTGTCGAACGCGAAGAAAACGGGTCGCAATGGAACATCGCCTTATATTCGCGAGTTGAGCTCCTCTCCATTCCACAGAGACGCGTGGCATCTCCGCGGATGCTATGGTATCTCCGATCGCCTCCGTTGCCACGAAGACTTCACAAGGGACGTCAGTCAACACGAACCCTACTATGCGACGATAAGTAGCGGCTCACGCGGATGGACTGGGTGCGAAATGGTCGCGCGTGGACCTACAGTCGCTCGCATGATGTCGAGGTCGGTGGACAGTCCCCTCAGCAGAAGCAGGTGTGGGTATTTTATCCCTCGTGCACTGCGTAGGGAGAGCAGTGTAACGCATGAAGCGTTGGGTGGCGGCAACGCAGGCGGAATAGTGCATGAGGGGATGGTCGTGGAAAACCTCACCGGCTGATCGCATTTGACGTAAAGCTGCGATGCCTGCGATGCTCCCGCTGTTGAGTGTTATTGGCATCGATGGATGGTGGAGGTGGTTAACGGAGTGTGCGCCTACGTCGACTTCAAAAAGGGTGGCTTGGAGAGTACGATGGATATATAGTTACGTGCGCTGGCTCCCATTTGCCTCTCGTGCGCCGTACATGGCAACAAAGCGCATCCCAGCGCGACGTGGCGGAAGGGGTGGATGGTGTATGCGCCTCAGCGAGCCATGCGAAGCAGTGACAGGAAAGTCACCATCCTTTCTGAGCCCCTCGCGGTCGAATCATCTGTCCATCTCCTTCCTTGCTGTTTACAGACTGAGGTTGACTGATCCACTGGTTGAGGTGATATCGGAGTGGGCTTATGCGCTGGATGCCTTATGAACACGTGGCGTGGTAGAGTCTACCACTCCACGTACTTAGACAGCTTAGATTCAAGTGGGAGAGGAGTAATGGACCACAGAGACGCCGCGGGTGATGTGTGAGACGCTCGATTGTGCCTCCGGAATGTCTAATGCGGGTTCCTCTCAAAATGTGGACCTCAACAGAGACAGAAAAAGGCTCACCATTGGCAGAGGAAGAGGTAGATGAGAGCGCAGGCCACAAACGCGCCACCGACGCGACGCGCGTGAAGTCTCCGTTTTGGGCACACACGGGGTGGACGCTGAGTCACTAACCTGCTCTGAACGAGACCCTACGTTGACGGCTACAGTACTTTGTATGCGATGCCAGTCGTACAGTTTGCGCCTTTCTCGTCTCTAGCCGAACCTGCTTTCTGGCATGCTCTCACGGAACTGAAGGTCAACGTGCTGCGGCTGGACGACGACGCAATCCCCATAACGGCATCGTATGTCTCGGGCCGTTCGACCACAGACCGCGAGACAGGTGCAGAGATCGCACTAGGATGCAACCTGATGGTCGGCGGGGATGCGTTCTCCGAGGCGGCTCAGCCGGCTGCACATGCGGTCATCGCGCGAGGCATATTCAAGAACTTCAACACAATTGAGGATTTCAAGGCAGCGGACAAAACGGCGCTCTTCAATCACGTCACCGACGAGGTATGTCGCAATTTATGTATCATGAAGACTTACTGCTGAAACTGAGCAGATGTGGACGAGCATCGTGGAGGAAGGAACCACGACTCATTTGACGCGATTTCTGCTGCTCACATTTGCCGATCTGAAGAAGTACAAATATTACTACTGGTTCGCGTTCCCTGCATTCGTCTCGAAACCGGCCTGGGAGATCGACGGAAAGTGGGCACCCGCTCAGGAATACTACGATGATGACACGGTTCGTTCTGTCCTATCGACCTTTGCTCCCGATTGCCGCTGATTGATATCCGCGTGCAGCTCTCTACACTTCAATGGTCCCTTCTTCAGAAGCCGCGCGCGTTCTTTCTCCTTCGCCCTGGTTCGCCTGAGCTCGCGCCTGTCGAGGACTATGACACCTTTTTCGCTGATGTTGCCGAGGATAAGGTGCTGCTGCCCTCTCCTCATTTGTAGATTTCTTGTTCCATCGCATCCTGACAATCTTGATTGTACTTCCCTCAGCGTACTGTCGGCTTCCTCGACCCATCTGCCCTTCCTGACAACCCTGGATGGCCACTCCGCAACCTTCTCGCCTTCCTCCACACTCGCCACTCCACCGTCAACACCCATCGTATTCTGTGCTGGCGCGGCACTCAGAAGAGCCGCATCGGTATGCTCTCTTGCGATGCCGCAGCACCTTCGGAGAAGCCAGCCGCAGTCGGATGGGAGAAGAATTCCCAAGGCAAGCTCTCACCAAGGGTAGCGGACCTAGCGCCGATGATGGATCCGACAAGGTGTGTAGGGTATGAGATACATATGCACGCCAGCTAATTCGTTTGCTTTTAGGCTAGCGGACCAGGCCGTTGATTTGAATCTGAAGCTCATGCGATGGCGGATATTACCTGCGCTCGATCTGGAGAAGGTCGCACAGACGAGGTGCCTCCTGTTGGGTGCCGGTACGCTGGGCTGCTATGTCGCGAGGACGCTTATGGTGAGTGATTCTCAGCTCGAAACAGCAGCGATCGGCGATGAGGCTTTGGAGCCGCATGTGCATATGGTCATCTCTTCTACCACTGTGCTGCTCTTACACCTCACCTCCGGTCAACGCTATCCCGAAAGTTCCACTTCCACGACTCTTCACTGACCGAAATAACGTGCTGCACCTCGCTTCATTCCACCCTCCCGGCTCTCCATATACTGAAATGCCCACTGATGACCCGGCGACCTACACTGATGTATGGTGTGCACCTCCCATCTCGTATGCGTGTATTGTCACGCACCTCCAACGCATACGTGTCTCCGATCTTTCACTGGCCCTTTCTCATTCCTATCCACCTCCTCGTCTCGCTTGACGTTCCAATCTGCAGGGCTGGGGTGTTCGCACAATTACTTTCGTCGACTCGGCGCGCGTCTCGTTCTCGAACCCTGTACGCCAGCCGCTCTTCGAGTTCGAGGATTGTTTGAACAGCGGGAAGCCCAAGGCCGCATGTGCAGCGGAACGGCTCAAGAAGATATTCCCGGGTGTCGTGAGTGCCGTTCTTCATTCAGCCCATTTTTTGCTTGATTGTGATGGGTGTGGGAGTATAGAATTCAGCAGGGCACAACCTCAACGTCCCGATGCCGGGACATCCGATTCCGCCCGCATCGACGGAGCAGGCACGGAAGGACATTGAGACGCTCGAGCAGCTGATCGACGAGCACGACGCAGTATTTCTGCTCATGGACTCGCGCGAGAGCAGATGGCTTCCCACAGTGCTGGGTGCTGCGAAGGGAAAGGTGCGTTCGACCAACATAAAAAAGGCCATGTTTGTAGCGCGCTCATGGGATGTAGATTGTGATGAATGCTGCACTTGGTTTCGATACGTTTCTTGTGATGCGACATGGTGTGCGGAAGACGCTCGCGAAAGGTGAGCGGCTAGGGTGCTACTATTGCAATGACATTGTCGCGCCGGCAGATGTGAGTACATGCCCTTCCTTGTTCTGCCGGGGAGTTCTGGCTGACGATGCAACCGCAGTCGCTCACGGACAGGACGCTCGACCAGATGTGCACGGTGACGCGACCAGGTCTCGCGTCTATTGCCGCAGCGACTTCTGTCGAGCTGCTCGTGTCGCTCTTGCAGCATCCCGATGGGTGAGTGTGACTGTCCTTCGCTGCTGCTCCATTGATCATTTCCGTTTTCAGGGTCGATGCGCCCGCTCCACCCCCGCAGACGTCGCAGAATGGCGGCAACATAGATATGCAAGCGTATGAGGGTGTGCTCGGGCTCGTCCCACACCAATTGCGTGGATTCCTCGCGCAATTTAGGAACATGCCCATCACTGGTGCGGCATACGACCGATGTACGGGATGCAGTGAGACAGTAAGCATTCCGTTTCGCTCTTCCCTTGCTTCTCCATGACGTCTTGGATATGCATGCTGACTGGGTGACTTCGGGTACCTAGATCTTGCAGGCATACGAGACGCAGGGCTTCGACATGCTCTTGCGGGCATTCAATGAGCAAGGGTACCTGGAGAAACTTACAGGCCTGGAGGAGCTTTATAAGGAGGGTCAGGCGGCGATGGACAACGTGGATTGGGAGGAGGCGGATGCCGAGGGTGATGATGATTTCTAGGTGGAAGTGCACAAGGACGCTGGCAAGGAAAGGGAGCCCGGAAGGAATAGTTATGGAATCTATGTAACATTCATGCGATGATACCCATCTGTATGCTTACTAGGAATTAGAGAGACGTCGAGATATAGCACATACCATCTAGCACGAAATGTTCTGCACAATCGTCTGATCCCGAGGCGCGCGTTATCTCAGGTAAGCGGTCACTTGCTCCTGACGAGCTCGCGAAGACAGCGACGGGAGATGAGTTCAAGATATTTATATTTAATCTGAAACCCGCACATCGTTAACTACACCGGAACAGCGTCCGTGCTGATCAAGATGGAAACACCTTGATCCCTATTGTCCAGCCATGATTGTATGACAATCGCTGCCAACGGCGCCCTTGGCACGAGTTGAGATGAAAGTACGGTGCGTTACCTGATTCCTAGGGATAATTCCACCTAAGAAAGCAATATCCATTCAGCACTGCTCGCGCGCAACGCAACACCTTTTCCAAGGTCTTCAACGCGGTCGTGGAAAGGATATGGTTCAACGGCCTGTCGACGACGGTTGTAACGCCCCCGGATGCGGCAGCAGGCATGCCCATCCAAAACCCTCCCAGTCAGTGCGGCTAGGCTCGTTTGGGCGGATAGAAGCACCGGCGCGAAATGGGCTAGTGACTCGACAGATCGAAGGCGTGAAGACGTACGAGCTCTGCCAAGATGGCCTTGCATCGATTCAATTCGCATCCTCCACTTCGGGCAAGGATTGTCTAGTATATGTGCCACGGTGGACGTCATTGATCTTCCCTATGAAAAGGCTGAGGGTGACGATGGTGGGTTGGAGCCAGTTGTCAAGAAGTATCCTGACGAGAACATCGTGCAGTGAGTGCCGGAATGCGTATCGCGCGCGCGGTGCGGTGTGAAAGGCTAGGAGCATATTCGCTGTCCAAACCTTCTGCCCATGGAGACACTCATCTTCGTTTGTTCTCGCTAAAGTCAGCGGTGCAAAGCCTAGCGAACGCACACCAGGCAAAGAATGGCCTTGGTGGCCTTCATTCGTGCGCATTGCTTGCAATCCTCGTATACCCTAGCTTTACGTTCAGTGGAGACCAAGTCTGCAACAAGATACGACCCGTTAAGGCTAAAATCGCGTCCATCGTGCACAATGTCAGTAACAGCACTCCGAGAGGTCCGACCGATCCCCGAAGTGACGCGCCTCCTTGTGACAGTTCCATGGTAGTCTCAAATAGAAGCAATATTGGTTGAGAATGATAATCGTTTTTCAGGATGCAACGGTCAGCCCGACCGTACGCAGCCGATGAGCTACAAGCTGTGATGCGTAGTCTGGGAACACATACAGTAATGACGTGTCAATCACAGCGCGGCCAAGATTTAAAAAAGGGGCCACTCGCCTACTTCTAGTACCTCTAGCGAGCGGACGACGATCACTTGAGCTTGGCGAAAAGCTTCGGCGCGACGCAGTCCTGAGGAGCTGTCAGTCAGAAAGGATTTGGGAGTATGGAGGATTGCGACGCATACATCTACGCAGTGCATCATGCTGAGAGAAAAGATAAATTAGACGCGTCATGACACGCAAAATAACGCGGCTTACTGGTCTAGTAAATGCCACAAGCAGTGATACAAGACATGTCAGCACGCAAACGAGATCACGATGTACAGAAACGTACAACTGAACGGGTGACATGTGAGCTCGAGAAAACCAATTATGTTGTTCGGTAACGTACAATTCCTCGATGCAGTCCTCATGTTCGAAGCCCTTGCCCGAGTTTACCCTCTCCTCGCATTGCTGAAAGTGCTTCGTGGCTGCCACGCATCTCGCGCTGTTCTCACACTCCTCACGCAGCGCAGGCATGATCTACATCATCCTCCACCATCATAGAGTTGCATGAGGCAAGATCAGAAAGAAAACGCACATCCTCGGGCTCCTCCTCCTCCTCTTCCTCCTCCTCCTCCGCCTTTTCCTCGACCGCCTGCTTCTCCTCGGGCTCCTTTTCCTCCGGCGCGTCGGCGTGCGCGACGGGGAAGAAAGGCGACAAAAATGACGAAAGACTCATGAAAGCAGGACTGCACCGAGGTTGACGTTGAGGACCGGTTAGCGGACGGAGAGACTCGCGTTTATTCGCATAGTTCCGGTTCGCTCATTGCCGAGATGAATTGGTACGTAAGCAGACCAATCGTCGTCCAGCGTTTTGTCGCAACAAGCGCTCGGTAGCGCTGACGGCGCGCACCCTCATCAACGCTCCTCAATATCCGGGCCCGACTAGTTGCCTCAATGTATTTAAATCCAGTTCATTTAAGGCACATTTTCTACAAACCTAGCTCCAGCACAGTCACCCTCCCATCGGACGAGCCTATGGCAAGAAGCCCCAACTCTTCGACATAATCCAAAGACGTCCAATGGCTGGCTCCAGGTAACTGCGCCCATAGTGTCCTCGCCCGGAGGTCAATGTCTGGATGAGCCCGCTGCAGCAGACCTGCGAAAACTGCCCCAGCTAGTGTCTCTGTTGCCTTCATTGCGGTGTTTGGAGCCTGTGTCTCGGACGCGTGAACGTCTAATGTGGTGAGATCGGCGCTGTGTGCAGGGCGAGGCTGAATCCAAACAGCCGTCCCATATGGGCCCAGAATGATGTCCGTACAGCGCAAGATGCCACGGACGGACGGCGAGGAAAGCTTTGAATGCATCGGCGGGAACAGATAGGGCGAGCGGCCGATGGTTCTATCGATCGACAGCGAAGGTGGAGTAGCGTCCTGTGCACCGTCTACGGGGAGAATGCGCAGATCTTCTATGTATTGCGGGTTGGGCTCTAGAGTGTACAAATCCAAGGTATGGACATCTGATGTCCAGGGATCGTCGCTTTCCGCTCTCAACAAGATAGATAATGGCTCGATCGGACCAGAGTCGACATCAGAAGGGCAAGCTTGCACTTTAACGGAAACACCATCTATCCACCCGAATGAGTGGTTCGCCAGAGGATGATACGAAAACGTTTCGGAATTCGAACGCAGGACCGGCATCTCGAAAAGCTCAACCGAACGAGCGCGAACTACCAGGATGCTCCGATAAGCAAAAACAACCTGCAAACATCTGTTATACTGCAGGTTGACCGACAGTAGATATATGATCAGCAGACAATCCCCGGTTGAGTGAGATGGAAACTGACCTGAAATCGCTGATCGACAGGTTCTTCCGCCGAGCGAAGAATGGCAAGAGCACCGCTCCTTAGATCCATGATCCTCGTCTCGGAAGAATCGTCGCTATACGCAATCATGTCGCCTTCAAGTGCAATAGGCCGGAAAGATGTACGTATCGTCCGAACACATTTGATCGTAGCAGGCCCATCGTCCGCTCGGTCGTCGGAAATGCAGAGGATCTCAATGCATTGTTCGCTGATCGTTCGAATGAGGCGCCAGATCACAAGCAACATCTGAGCTATAACGGACGGACCTTCCACCGGTGACAGATGTGGCCGCGACGGCGTCAGCGTGAGCATCAGTGTTGACAACAAACCCAGTAAATATCATGCCCTTTGGGCACCATTCCGCCACCTTGCGAATGCTAGCGGATTGAGGAGGGTTCTTGCCCAAGGACACCTCCCAACATGCTATGACCGACCAGATTCCCTTGGTGACGGTCGCGATACGTCTGCCTCCGTAACCAGGGAGGAAGCAGAGTTTCGACACTCCCGTGCCAGAGCTTGCTTGGAAGTCAGTTATGTCACGCGGCTGTGCGAGGGGATCGAGCCAGAATCGACCAATTCGTATCGCCCGGCAGACGCAGTGTTCCAGCTCAGAAGCGTCCATCACTGCAAGCTCGCGATGCGGGAAGGGCAGGCCAGCAAGAAGTATTTCACGGACATATGCGCTGTGCCAAATTGCATGGGTGTGTGAGATCGCCACCATGCGTCTTGAAGTCTGTTGCTCCGTTACTTCCCAGCGCCGCTTTTGATCCTCTTTTAAACATACCTGTCTTATCGCGAGCACCGATTGCACCGGCAGGAAACTGAAGATAATAATTAACGTATCATCATCGATGCTGGACAGCGACCTCGGGGAGATTTCGTCCATAGCTTTTATGAAACTGGGCGCCACTAGACCAGTCGAGAAAGAGTTGAGCGAGTTATAAGTTTCGAAAAAGATGGGTCGAACATCCAGCGTCCATTGTCTGTAAGCGTGTAGCAATGAGTGCAAAGGAACGTCGTTGGTTGTGAGACCGGATTGCGAAAGTATCAAGCTGGAATAGTGTGCACTGTGAGGACGGACGATGATGCGGTGCGGGCGCCTGTGCATGAGGGCAGGCCTCCGTGCCATTCTCACGCCCCCGAAAAAATACATAAGGCCCGCCCTGAGGCAGAGGAACCTCAGATTCTTCCACTAATCAAAACGTCCATGACGAAACCTCAGCAGCGAGATGAGCACGACCGTCGCAAGACGTGTCGGCGTTGACATCGCTCGTTCGGCACCATACCTTGTTACCATCTTCAAAGGGACGGGCTTGTACGGATCTGAGGGCGTCTTTGATTGTGGATGGTCATTGCTTTCCTCGCGATATGTGTGCTTGCGTACGTCCTGTATGATGCAGCTTTTGTCGAATATAATTACACACAAATATTGATTAACAACCATCCCATACAGTACTAAACGATGAAACAAGGAGTTCACTTTATGCGCTCAGACGTAGTCAGGCGCGTCTCCTGCGGTTAGAAAGACCAGTCAATGTTTAGAATAGTGCGATCACATTCGGTACTCAGTGCTCACTGCTCGTACGTCTGATTGCGATAGTGTTGTAGAAGCTGGCACACATGTTTATCGTATCGAGCACTCCTCGACGTCAAATCACCATCTCCAAATTTCGCTATCAAAGGTTGCAATAACGAAGCAAATAGGCGTGATAACTCCCCGCTGCCGTCGTTCTTCCCAAAAGCGAAATGATCATACTGTTCCGCCGGTGAGAACGGTCAGACGCGGCACATAACGTTGTTAGTCACAGGGAATGCTGTCTGTTCAAAACGAGGATGCGCCTGTCGAAATGTCAGATATATATATAGTATATATATATATATATATATATATCGGAAGAAGACTGGGTAATGCTAAGCGATATGTTCAATGATTATCGAGCATGAAACTGTGCTACAGGACGGATACCAAGGAGAAAGACCAGCAATGCAATCCAGGATATTCCAGGGATTGCGAACAAAGCGCATTATGCCGTTTCGGTTGAGAACGTAGCAGTCCAACGGTCAGGCAGCAAACACGGTGGCACGTTTCTCGGCGGAACAGATCTCGCTGCTCCGTCTCTTTACGCTTGCGCGGCCAGGGCGTCGATGAGGATATTGACATTTACCGTCGGATGTCACGCTCCAGTCCATGAGAGCCATACACCGTACATACTAACCACCTACATCTATAAAGATGAACGTTTGCGCATCGCGCCCGAGGATAAGCACTGCAAAGTGATGATTTTACCGAGGCAGCGCGTTGGACGATCGCAGAGTCGACGCACTGAGTATCTCTAACAAAGTCTGACTTTCAAGAAAAGGGTATCGACGCGTAAAAAGTCTTCAGTCAGCATTCAGATCTAGAGTCAACCCGTCCGATCAAAGACAAGTGGTAGTGATGGCGCCAATCACACCTCTTACTAACTCTATACATCTTTCTATCTTAAACGCTCCAGTCCCCATCGGCAATAACAGCTGTCACCAGGCCTGTGACAGTCTATCCTGCGTGAAGTATTGTCTGTTGCCAAGGACGCCTGTGTCGAGACGTCAAGTGTCGATGTAGGTCGGCCACACGGTCTGCGCAGATCGCAGCGCTCATTTTTAAAAAAAAATACATCAGACCATCGACTATCATCCAGAATTCATTACTTGCAACAAGGCACGGCCTGTCTGACCGTCACTAGCCAGGTATCAAGGACTCAAATGAGCAACGTTTGGACGCCACCAGTATACGATCACTCTAGGAGGCCCGATTTGATTTGGACAACTCATTTGTTACAGAGTGAAAGCGATCCCTCGAACTTTGCTCGTGCAGCCAAATGGTTCGTCTGGCCAGAACATGAGTGAAACAAAATCTCACGATATGAATGATTCGGCTATCAGGTGTTCAGACGGTACCGCTGCATTAGCTCAATGCGAAAATCAATCATTTCAACATGTCTATCTGTAAAAATATCCTATATCGGAATGACAGATGCACTCATTCTATTCTGAGCAGACCTCATGACTTATCTGAAATGCCCGGTACACCCAATCAATTTGAACGTCTCATCAAACAACCATCCCCAATATTAGACTTTGAGTGGTTCCCTACCGCTACTTTGCGCGATCCTGCTTCTTTTTGCTTCATCGCCTCCGTACGCGAATGTCCCGTCAAGCTTCTGGATGGCAGCGATGGTCGGGTCAGTTCATACACCTCTGCCTTTTCTGACGACTCCGTCAAGGCCTCTTCCTTAGTTAGCTAACAACTGACTCCACGCAACGTCCAGTTACGAGCATCTTATAAAATAGTTGACCACCGTGAACGATTCATTGCTCCGCATAGTCTCGCATTCAATATGTCAATGGACAAGTATGTTCTCGCTAAACTTTTTGGAATCGTGTCTGTTGATCTCAAAGCTGGTTGCATGTAGGCTCTATTGTGGATTCGAGGATGCTATAGAGATATTTGACGTCCAATCTCCCGGAGAAGGGACTCGCCTGCACACGAGTCCATCGAAGAAAAGCCGTGATGGCCTCAAAGGTCAATTGGCATTCGATTCATGGCACAATCTCGAGGCTGAGGTTCCTCAGGTATTATATCAGCGTTGGCGTTCTCACGCGATGCAGCTTCCGGGATCTACGCAGCAGGCTCACTTAATCCATCAACACCCTCTTCTCCAAACATCGCGTTGTTCTCCGAAGCGACTGGGGAGACTCCCGTCATGTTCGTTGGGACTGAATCTCATTCCCATGGTCCGTCAACCGGCATTCGAGCAAGTGTCACCCAGGTGAGCTTCGAAGATCCTGTCGCTCGAAGTTTAGCTTCAACGGCATACATGCAGTTAATGTTCAATCCAAGCCGGCCGTACCTCTTGTATGCTTCATTTCGGCGCCATGATGCCATCTATGCATGGGATCTCAGAAGCGATGTCAGCATGCCTGTGAATATCTTTCTCAAGGACTCTTTTACTGGTAGCATGGATACCGGTGGAAAGGAAGTCAATGATGCGGTCCCGACGAATCAGAAATTGAGGTTTGACATTGATATCGGCGGTCAAATTCTAGCAGCCGGAGATCAGGTCAATTAAGGCACTGTCTCACTGCGCATTCGTCATCGCTCACACATTCAATCAGCGCGGGAGAATATCTATCTTCGACATCCTAACAGGTGATACAGCTTCTGGCTCGGACGAAGTTCATGCTGTTGCATCGACACACTCGGCGCTGCAATATGAAGCACATGAGGGTGAGCGCATCCTCCTCATCAGACAATCTTCCTTCCGAAGGTTGAGTACCGCATCTGATGTCGGCTTGTCAGATGCCATAGGTTCGGTGGCCTTCCATCCGCTGCGCCCGATGCTTCTGTCGGTGTCAGGTTCGAGACACTTCGATCGAATATCATCTAACGCGGACGGCGGCTTAGAGTCTTCCCCTTCAAGTTCGGATGAGGATGTAGATGGCGATCCGGATGATGAACAGGTGGCTGATGTACAGACTGCGATAAACCGGAGAAACAGCGTAGTCAAGATCAGTCGCAGACGTCCGCAGCCTATGACGGTCGACGCATCTGTGAAACTTTGGTGCTTCGGGGAGAACACCTGCAGCGACGAATCCGCAGCGTCGGATTCTCACCAATACACAAGTTAAACGTTCATCATTAGCACAGCTGATGCAACTATCCGTTACAGACGCAGGTAATCTCATGTGTATTAGCGTCGTACATATACATATGGAGAAGTACCGAAGCATTGTCAGTGACTACTCAAAGTCATCTGCGGTAGAGCGGACCATAACTTCGATCTCCTGCGAACGTGGTCGGAAGCCGCACTTGAACGGCAAGGGGTATCTGACAGCAAATCAGCGAACGTGTCTACGGGGGTAATGCCACGGAAGCGGTTGTCACTCACGTTACGAGCCCGGTGGTATACTCGCCACTTGGTTCGATGTATTTTCCCCGCTCGTCTTTAAGCTTGTATATATCGAGTGTAGACAATATCGAAGCGATTGAGATCCATAAGGATGCGTACGCCAGATGGCGACCAGGGCAGACTCGTCTCCCGAATCCGAAAGCGGGCGCCTCAGCGTCTTTCATCTCTGTATTCAGGCGACCATCGGCAAGGAGAAAACGCTCCGGACGAAAGATATCTGGATCAGGAAATATTCGCTCGTCGCGCAGCATAGCCCTAACGTGAGGCGTTCTCGTGAGATCCCGATTGAAACTGGAAAACTAGCATGCTAACCATGAATTTCCCACGACTACAGAGCCCGCAGGCAACCGATATCCTCTGAATTCATCTTCAGATGTCAGCCGGTGAGGCACAGCTGAAATACTGGTCAGCTAGTCCGGTTGCAGTAATTCCACCGCAACTCACCTAGGGGTGTCACCGGGCGCCACCTAGCAAGAGATCAGAACGTTGTGGGGATAGTAGACTGAGCACACGGCATACCTGAGTACCTCACGCATGATAGCGGTCACGTATGGGAGTGAGCTCTCATCCGTGAAGTCAGGCAGGCGACCACCGCCGGTCACACGATCAATCTCCTGTTGCGCCTTTCGTTGGACGTCGGGATAGAGGAGCATAGCGAGGAGGAATGATCCCAGTGCTGAGACAGTCTATTCATTGCAAGTCAGTACGATGATATATATATAACGGATCTCTCCGACTAACCGTGTCCGAGCCGCCTACAAGCATGTCATCAAATGAGCAACGGTAGTCATCGAGCGATGCGAGAACTTGCCTGTATAAGCAGCTGCGGCGACGCCACTGTACAAGCTCTCCATATCCGAGTTATCTTCCGCGTCGTCTAATCCGCTGAGGAGGGACAAGATCATTGATGGAGCGGCAATTCCATCGGACTGGCCACGATCCGGGTGAGTGACGAGAAAGTTCCGTAATCATAAACTTACAATAGCCTTCTTCACAGCTTTGAAAGGCACTTCAACCATCGCAGTAGTGGATTTTCGCCACTCTTTGGCCTTCAGCTTGAATTTAGCCCCTGGGAACCACTCTGGTATGTATTTTACTGGATAAATAAGAAGATTAGTCGTTCGCTTTGAAACGTCATCCAAGACTGAACGTACGAAACGGGACCGAATCAACTAGATAGGATCCTGCATTTCCAGCCATGGCCATCGCGTGAAGAGCTTTTTCTGCGGTTGCGACATACGGGTCATTTTGAGGTTGCACCTCCAATCCATAAGCAACGCCGACGATCAATGCTCCAGCCATACTATACACCAGATTGCCTCAGTCCAACGCTGCATAGAAGCTGAAGGTGAGACTTACTGACGAAGGTGGATCATGAAATCATCCGGGTTCTCAAGAAGACGTCGAAGAAGAGTCCTTGCACCCTTGAGAGCTCTCGGACGGTATTGTAATGCAGCGGTGAGATGGAAATGCTGATGAAAAACCCTCCGCCGTTCTCTCCATCGATCGCCATAGCCCATGAACACGAAGTGCCAATCACATCCAACTCTGCTCGACGAGTTAGCACTTGAGACATAGAGAGAATGGTTTTGGCACTGACAAGTCGTTGAGCATCGTCATACGGGGTCTATGGAGGAACGTGAGTGCGCTGCGCAGTACATTGGCAAAATAGACTCGCCTATCAGAGTAGAGAGATGACCTCCTTTCGAAGAGCTCATATGCTGCCTCGATGGAGTTGACAATGACAACTGAGTTGCCACAGAGATTGAGGTACACCACATCAGAGCCTACTTCTCATCAGCAACGTTGCACATCAATCAAGCAGGCAACGAAATATTCGCACCTTGGTCACGACCCCATTGTTCATACGCGAGCCACTCCTTACTCGTCGGAACATCGTAGATGTTACCCAACAGCGGTAAGCCACGGGGGCCCGGAGGAAGAGGTAGCCTTTTGTGCTTCAAGAGAGCATGCACGACGATGCCAATGGCAAGGAAGAGGAAGAGGATGGTGGCATCAACGACGGCCATTGCTAGAAGACTGGGAGTGCCCAATTGCTCAGACAACCCCCTCCCCCCGCTTCGCTTTATATTGTCGGGCGACAATGCATTTGAACGTGGTTTCTCCCTTCTAAGGTCAGACCTATGCCAGCATCGTGCTCCAGCCGAAGACAGTCAACGCGGAATTCTTCATCAGAGAGTAAGATGGAGCGTTAGAAACGCACACCCTGTTATTAGCCAAGGTGTTCCGAAAGAAGGGGCGGAGCAGAGCTTTCACTCACGAATAATTAGGTAAACACATCGCAGATGTCTCCAGATATCTCATGAGATTAACGACCAGATTTCCGCTTAGTGGCAGTGATCTTTCTGGGCAAACGTGGAAAGAAAGCATGCCCTTCTTGACTTCTCTTCTTGATATCCGAGATGCTTCTTTCGCAATGTTCCGAAATGCACTAGAAGATCAGGAGATGAAGGTTACCGATGTCCTATTGCAAATTTTCTGATGAGCCATGAGTTGGATATGGCCAACGCCTGAGAATGATGCAGCGGCTACTCGATGGAAGGACGTCCGCGATCTGGTAAAGAGCCACCGCTTTGCTCGTGAGCAAGTGCGGCAATTACTCGACCAAACGTCGGACATAGCAGACCCTGCAGGCGGCCCGTAAAGTCTCGGCGGTCTTTGCTTTCAATTAACGCACTCACTAATCGTATCCATGGCATGAAAACTAATCCGAGTCGAATTCGCTCAAATACTTACAATTCTTTGCGGTTCGCTGGCGGAAATGTCTCCTGCTAGAACTAATTGTTGCGCTATATTCATTTCTGGATTGAGAGCCGATTTCAGTAAGAGGAAAGCACTCGGTTGAGTTGGAATGGCAAGCAACGAGATCGTGCATGCACACTGAGATATGTGGCTAGGTCATGATCACTGATCATTTTGGCGTCTCGTCTATAACGAAGAATTATATGCGAGTCAAAGATAGAGATCCAGAAACTCCGCAAGGTAGTTGCATTTGTTCATGTTCATTTACATGGTAATCCGACCCTGAGCCTTGCGCAGGTCATCAACGGCATACGTTTAGACGGGTGTGTGTGAATGAACGATGGTTTGCGATCGGACATGTGATATCCCGGCGTACCGGTATAGCGCTCATCCAGTGAGTGGTCGCCGTTGCCCATCTTCTGCACGGTCCCCATTTCGTGGTCGGTTCACAACTATTCTATCTGCATACGACTCGATTCGGTATCGAGACACCGGTTCCCCGGGGTCCTGCAGCTATGGAGAGTTAGATGAACATCACCTGACTAAAACGAGGTTTTTCCTACAAGGCAATTCGAAGCTACGACGCCGGGCATGGCGGAGAAGCGTCATCCCTGTTGCTTCTATTAAATATCCCAGCTTGGCGTATTTGTGTCATGCAGAAAGGAGTTGTTATCTAAGCTCATGACGGATAGCAGTCATCATCTGCATCCGAATAGATGAGAGTTTACTCGCCTCTAAAGGGCACGTTGTGAGAGGCTGGCTGCGTTCCCGGGCCAAACGGACTCTCATCGACACGGGAGAATGCGCGACAATTGGACGATGATGGCCCGCATCTGTACACTGTGGGAGACACGGCGTTTCATCATACAGCTGCGCATTGCTACAGAGGACCCGCCTCGACTTGCTTAACGCATTCGCGCTTGATTCCCAAAGCCAAGCATCCTTCCATGCCGTCTACAAGAAGAAATGGGGGATACGCGAAGGAGTTTGCGCTCAAGCCGCGGCCACAATTCCATGCCTAATGCGTAAGGTCGTGCTCCGAGGAGCTGCATAGATAAGGGGCCACTTGGTAACCATGGACATTGCCAATTTCCGTAGCTAGCATTAATTTTGACAGGCGACGAAGCTATTGTTCAAATAGCCAAGTAGGCGCCTGCGGATATTTCTTGGACCGCTCCAACCTCGAGTGTGCGTAATCGAGGACGCCTCAGAGCTCACGGTATAGACAGAGCCCTGCTTATTAGATGTCAAAGAAAACTAGGGAATACGTTCAAATCGAAAATGGCGTGACGTAAAAGAGAGACTCACAAATAAACGTTGCGGAGTACTCTAGCGAGCATGCCAAACTTGAATGATCTAATAGTGCATAGCCTCGGGTTCTTGAGCCCGGAAGCAATCGATATGAATACACTAGAGTGCTCTTCGGAATAGCATAGACAGCCAACGAGATGATCATCCAGTCTTTATCCCGACTACAGTGTAAGTAGCCATGAGTCTGAGATAACTACGCCACGGAGTAAAGTCAACTTGCAGCGATGCAGAAAGACTACATTCACGTGGCAATAGTCACTACAGCGAAGTCTTGCTACGACAGCAAATTGCGGAAGTTGTGAACCCATTGACAGCAGGCAAGACCGAACAAGATAGCGAACATCCGCACAATATGTTGACAAGAACCATCTTTTGGAAAACACCAAGAGCAAGACGGACCTGCATTGACTCGCGATTAGAAGTTATGAGATCATGGCCAAGCCTTTGCGGTAGCGGAGGTCACTGACAATTCAATATTCAGCTTCGGCGAAAGGCAGTCGATGGGCTTGCCTGAGACATGGTGTGCCGAGTCCTGGAGTAACCTGGAAGAGCTTGGGAGTAAATGCTTGAGTTCACAGGTTGGTGTCAGGTGACCTGGTACGGTGGCGGAGGAGAATGTTCAACGTTAATGTCGAATTGTCGCAAGTCGCCCGTTGTCCTTCAGCACAATCAAGATTCAATAACATGGCTTCCGATTTGCCTTTCTACCTGCATTTCATCAGAGTAGCGGCTCCGTCGTCCTGCGTTCCACATGGCTTTTTCACGAGTGTATCGCTAATCTGGTAAACCGCAAGACTTCTGAGCATTCTTCTCAAAGGAAGCTGGATCGCACGTTCGTCACGGCAGGGCTTGTCCGTCTCAAATGCCCTGGATGCATGGTGTATCTCTTTCCTCCCTTCCTGCAATGTCGTCTCGCGCTTGGCTGGACATGCGATTGGCCTTGTTCTTGCCGATTCTGGCTCTAGCTTTCTGGTTGGCTTCTGCAAGTTGCGACAGCATCTCGTCTGCTGCTGGTGTCTATAACTCTTCCATAACTCCTTCAAGCCTACCTTGGAATACCTACAACTACTGCAATGCGCCCCATGTGAACGCTAAACATTACATGCTCCCTGACAACGCATCAAATGCTGAGTTGGTATATACGAATGTCGTTATACGTCATCACAAGGTACATGTCGTCGTTGTATTACATCTCATTTGCATTCTAGGCGATTTCGCTGCTCGTCGCTTACAAATATTCTCAGAGAACCCCGGACAACCTCTATCCGCATGAGAACGAACTGAATGCGATACCTTGGCTTTGCTCCGACTATCAGCAGTTCAATTACGGCGGCGGATCTGCTCAGATCTTCCATAACACAGCCATTCCGCCCTGGCATCCGTTTCTTTCGCAGATCTGGAACGGAACGTGTGACCAAGGCCAGCTCACGCTGGAAGGGCTTCAGGATGCCATTCGGCATGGACAGGTCGGCAGCACTGATCATCCTTTCGTTCTGATCATGCCAATGTCCACCTGCGCAGGACTTCTGGGCCGTCTATGCAGACAAGTTAGGGTTCTTGCAGACCGTCAATGAGCACGAGATCCACATCAGAACATCTACTGAGACGCGCACATTTCAAGTCGCTGGTGGTCTACTGGTAGGCATGGACCGGGAAATGGCCACCAAGACGTTCCCCGTCACGACCCAGCCTTCTGTGGTCAGCGATCAGTGATTGAACTCAATAACCGATGCGGCTGTTCTCACGTGCCTTTTTAGATTGATTCTATTCCCCCAGACTATTCCTGCCCGAAAGCGGACGATATCCGCTCGGCCTTCCAGGCAGTTCCCGCATGGACGGATCACCTTGAGAAGAATGCGGAGCTGCAAGCACGGCTTGATGCGACTCTGGGGACCACCGGTCTCGACGATTGGAATTCATGGTGTGCGTCACACCGTTCTCTTTGATACATCTTAGTCCGGGCTCTTATCTTTGCCCAATCTCGCTCTGCGGTCTCCATATGACAGACGACCACTTCTTCGACACGTTCAGCTCGCGGACTTGTAACGGGCACCCTTTGCCATGCAATGCAAGTGGAGTCTGTGTTTCTGAATCAGACGCCTCCAGGGTATTTGCGATCGGCGACTTCGAATACAAGTACGTCTCGCGGTCCGACCCAAAGCGCGAGCCGGTCTTAATTTATTCTTCCTCCAGCTACATCTGGAACGCCGCCGAAGGCGCTGCGAACTACACCCAGCTGACGTTTGGTAAGTCTTCTACCCATTCATCGCTTGTCACCGGTCGTGCCGCGGTTTTGTCTATCCCCACGGTACCCAACGTTCATCCGCGCTGATGTTCCGAAACAGGCGTTTTCTTCATAGAGCTTGCGCGAAACTTCAAGAGTTTCCGCGTCGGCGGAGAAACGCACAAGCTGGTTTTCTACGTTGGCCATGACGGAACGATGATCCGTCTTGCGTCCCTTTTAGGCCTCGGCAAGATAGCTCCACTACGCTGGCCTGCAATGGGGTCAGAGATCATCATGGAGGTATGTGGTCCCGACGTCGCTTCCCTTCCTCTTCAGTGTGTGAGTTGCGGCTTTTATGACACGGTCATTGCTAGGTTTGGCGAACGGAAGGAGGGGACCACTTTGTGCATGTCCTGCACGAAGGCACGCCAGTCTCTGAAATGGCATGGATACCCCTTGACGATTTTATTGGCGTGCTGGAATCTCAGATTCCGCCGCGTCTTTTCGAGACATGTATGGAAACGTAGTCCTGGAGGCAGGAGTAGCTCAACCCTGTACCTGAAGCCCATGTTCTCCGGTTCTTGGTGGTTCCGCATTGCGTCTGGAAATGAGACTTGCCTCGACAGATTGCAGTCAAAAAGCGCACATCCGATTAGCTCAGGGTTTAGCTCAAGGCTGTCAGAAAGTCCCTACAATCGTCCGCGTGGCATTCCTCCGAAAAGAATGGGAATCTCAGGCCTGGCGCCAGTCCATCGCTGTTTCCCGTTCTGAGCTCCATCAGCGAAAAAAAAGAGAAAGGGCAAACACCGTACCCCCTTGCCATGATCTGCGCTTGTCACAGCTAGGAACCTGGCCGTAGCTAGAACCAACCGTCGTGCGAGGATTGCAGAGCACGCGGTCTGGTCTCTCCAAGCGAGGTCCGCGGCGTATAATCGCGCTCAAAAAATTTGAGGTCGCCGTGATGCGAGTATTAGTCGGTATGCTCAGGGTCAACGTCCGACAATCGTGCGTGCTCAATGATGTTCTAGTCGCTCGACTGCAGAGGCCAGAAAATTTCGGTGTGCGACATCCTTCTGCGGTGCTACATACATGGGGCTATTGAAAAGCCGCAATAGCGGGTGCGTTTGTCACGTCAGCGGTGCCTTTGCCATAATTGTCACCGCTTTCGCACCGTGAGCTAAGGATGGCGGTAAGCCGGACCGCCGCCCTGGGTTGTGGCCATCTGGTTTATTCGTGCGATCACAGCAAGTGGACTGCAGACCTCTCGCTATCCGGCATTGTCGGGAGAATTAAGCGAATTCGTAGTGCTTGCAGGGTCGTCAGCGGCGCATAAGCGGGCGCTTATTATACGTACAGCGCTCGGGTTACTGGAAAGTCCCGCAGCGATCCACATCGATTGCGACCTTCCGATCAACAGGCTATCAAGCCGCGCGGTTGTCGAGTCGTAACGCCCTGTCTTTGTGGCCTTAAGTTGGCCCGATGCCCTCGCAATATCAATGCCGGGTGTATGACGTGGCCATATGCAAGCAAAGACATATTGCTTGGCTGTGTCCTGTCGTACCATACACTTTCCCGGAGATACAGACTGGAAACAACAATCAGTATATCGTGCCGTACCGGAGACGAGCAGACAGCAGTCCTGAGCATACCTGACTCCCACGAGAAAGAGGCCGTCTAGTCCTCGGCTCCGGAAAACAGGGACGCTGCGTGTGTCCTGTATGCTATTTCCATGGCTTCCTGGTGCGCAGTATGTGAACGTCGACCCAAGATGGCGCCGTCATCGTTCCTCCGTCGGCTCACCGCCCTATCCGAAAACCAACACCCGAGCGTGGGACGCGCGCGCGTGGTGTGCATCGACGCATATTGCACCTTTACGTCGAGGACATGTTCGGCAGCTCGCGCAAACCCCTCGGCTTCAGGGTTGTCTCAGCTCGCAGCGTTGCCGGCTCTGTCGCCATCTAGGAGGGCAGAAACCCCGCAGGTATCGTCAATCACGAGAGATTTCGTGCAGCGTGCACAAGCGAGCTCAGGACAAGCGGCCCCATTCCATGGCCGCGGGTCCAGCGCCTGCATTGCTGTATTGCGGGGACGATGGTACATCAGACCGTTCGAGCTATATTTCCGAAAGCTGAGAGATCGCTGCACGCAATCAGTCGTATAAAAAGAACTCGTCGGTGGCTATTTGTGGGGTTCAGATGTCAAGTTGAAGGGAGGTCAAACTAGTGCGGCGCCATCAGCGTGCTCAGCTCTGTCGTTGAGGTGATAGCAGATGAGTGTATTCGGAGCTCAGGATAACGTAGAGGCAACGCCGAGCGCCAATCGTGAGAGGTTCATAAGCGAGCTCGGAGAAGGCGATTCCAGACCCGTGGCCGTGGGTTGAGCGTCCACCGTTGAATTGCGCGAATGATCAGTACGTCTTCCAGATCTTCAAAGCCGTCATCGGAAAAGTTAGGAGATCGCTACATGGGATGGGAGAATCCGAGATGTGCGTTCGCCGCTTTGGCGAGATGGGCATCGGAGGAAGGAGGGGGCAAATCACGCGGGATGAGAGAAGTGCTCATTTTTTTCGTGGTGGTTACAGACAGAGGGCACTGCGGAATGCCACAGATGGCGCATTGGGATAGCCGATATCAGGGTGTGCCGAAGAGAAAGAGGTACGTCTTCTCGCTACTTCCTTCGACAACATCCATGGGCCTGATACGCCGATCTTCTTCTAGAGTATACGAGTATCTTCTTCCAGCTGCCTTCGGACTCGCTAATGGCGGGTTATTCTCGTTCGTCACTACGGAGACAAGCGACCCATCATCTCACACGTCGTCTTTTTCTGGTTTCTACACCGCGTTGCAGCTTGGTTCCGCATCGGTCGGCCTTTGCAAAGTGCGCGTACCGAAGAAGAAAAGGGAGCTTGAGATACCCGGGAAGCAAGATAGACGTCAGAGTATTCGTCATGTCTTGCTCGCCTTGTGCGACGGCGGAGGGCCACTTGAGTAAATATGGGTAAATCAGTCTCGGATGAGTAAAATACCAGAGGGGTTACATACCTTGTACGCGAGTTGATAGATGCCTGTGAACAAGGTATAAAAAGCAGAGCAAGACTGTGTGTGGGCGCGACGCGAAAGGGATCACGTGCGACTGGTGCGGTGTGTGGAGGACTGTTCTGGCGTGGCCTGGTTTATGATGGTCGCTGCTGCGAGGGCGTCCCCCTCGAACACTCCTCCTCATCCTGCTCACTGTCCACGTTCATTCAGCAGCCACCCCCGCTCACCACCGCCCCCCGCGCTCGCCTCGCTCCCAATTCTATTGACTGCCAACTCCGCGCCCGCCACGACCCTGCTACAGCCCTCGCTTGTCTTGCCCGTGACTTCCCGCCTCTCTCCCGCTAACCATGAGCGTCTTCAACCCAAAAATCATCGACGCCTGCATCCGCGATGCCACCGCCCCCCTCCCCGACGACCAGAAAGCCGACGTCCTCCTCTACGCCCTCTCCCGTCTCCAGCTCGACCACGACGTGTGAGCAAAACTTCCCATCATCGCCCGCTGTCTACTAATAAGCCCCCCATCATTTACCCCATCACCAGCTCTAGAACCCTCATCGAGAACGCCGTCCAGTCCGTCCTCTCCCTCAAGAACCTATCCCCCGCTGCCGCCTCTCGCGCCCGCCTCCTCCGCGCAAAGGCCAGCCTCGCCGCCGGCCTCCATGTCCGCGCTCATCAAGGTATGTGATCCGCCCATCTTCGGCCGCTCCCGTCCTCTCCGAATCTAGATGTTCTCCCGTACGCGCATTCTAGACGGCCACCCCCGTCTGGGTCGTTCCAGCTGCGTCTCCATTTTCTCCATCCTTCGCTTCCGACGCCCGTACTCACGCCCTTCCTTCCCTCTTCCGTACTCCATTTGCCTCTCTTCTCCCCCGCACTCCACTTTCACGCCCACCGCGCAGACCTGCAGGCCATCATGGTCCTCGAGCCCGATCACGAAGAGGCAAAGGAGCTCATGGTCCAGCACGTCGCCAACACCGGCAAGGTGAGCCCCATCCCCGGCCGAGTCTTTCGCACGTCACTCATCGCCGCTCTCGTCCCTCACGCTGTCGTCACCGCCCCGTCGCGTCCCGATGACTCCCGTGCCGCCCCTCGCAGCCTCTCATCGCGCCGCACACCACACCAGGCTTCAGCACAGAGATATGGCGCGAGATCGCACGCTGGCTGTCCCCGCGCGACCTCAAGAACCTCCTTCTCGTCCCTCACACCCTTTCCCGCATCGCCAGCGAGCTCCTCTTTCAACGTGTCGACCTCTATTTCCGTGAGTGCGCAGCAAGTCCATCCCGGTCCTCCTCTGACGTGTTCGCGCGTTGCAGTCTCGGACAAGCGCGAATCGCAACGCAGCGCCGACATCCTCACACGGATCATCGTCGACAAAGAGTTTGCCAAGCATGTCCGCACGCTTCGCGTCTTTTACCAGGGCCGTGACATCTCGCCCATGACCTTCCAAACCGGTCAGTGCACGTCCGTCTCACGGCATATCACGCATGACTGACGCGCGCGCAGGGATGCTCGCGAACGCGCTGCCAAAGCTGCACAACCTGAAGAACGTGCACTGCTCGATGCGCTGGCGCGAGATGATGTCCTTCCTGCGCATCCTCGAGAGCGCGAAACACCGCATCCGAGGACTGTCACTGATGTAAGTGATTTCGCACCGCCGACGTACACTCGCTAACGACCCGCATGCAGGCCGCTCGACGGCACCACGGACCTGCACTTTCCCAAATTCCGGCACCTCACGCAGTTCTCCTACGTCTCTACCGGCGGCTCGCCGCACCCGATCCTGGACTTTCTCGTACAGAACCGCACCTCGCTCCGCGCGCTCTTCCTGCAGAACCAGCACTGGCCCTTCCCGCCCGCAGACACCATCTCGCTCCGCAACCTCACCTCGCTCGATTTCCTGGGCCACTTCCCCGCGGAGAGCCGTGCGTTCGCCGAGATCCTCGACGGTGGACACCAGCTGGAGAGCCTGCGAATCCAGTGCGTGCTCGACTGCATGGCGAGCACGCAGTTCCGCGAGTTCGTGGGCGCGAGCGCGGCGGGGAAACCGCCCACTCTTCCCTTCCTCCGGCACTTTGCCTTCACGCTCCTCGGCTACAGCGTGAACGACCACGACCTGTTCCCCGCGATCTCCGAGTTCCTGCGGGACCGGACGACGCTGCGGACGCTGCGGCTGACGGTGCCGAGTGCGAACTGGGCGCAGAGGCGGTTGGGGTACGATGCGGGGGTGTGGGGGGTGCTGCCGAGCTTGACGGGGCTGAGGAGCTTGACGGCGACCTTGCCGAAGGATGTGGCGGCGGCGGTGGCGATGTGGCTCGTGCCGCGCGGGGTGCGTGCGCTCAGCTTGCAGGCGGAGGCGGGGACGGACGCTGTGGGCTTTGTCTCGGTGAGCCCTTCCTTTCTTTTTCGTTGAGCGTGTGCTGATGCGTGCGGGGTAGCAACTGCGTGCGGGGTTGCCGCCGGGATTGAGGTTTATTGGGCTGTTGCAGTTTGATGTGCGGGATCCGGAGGCGGTGATCGCGCTGGGGTTCCCGGGTGTGCGCGTCGCGCGGATCGACGAGGATTATTATACCGTCACGCGTGAGGGGGGCGAAAGCTCCGAGGGCGCGGGTGCTGGTGCGGGTGCGGGCGCCGGCGCGGGTGCGGGGACGAGCGAGAGCGGGAGTGTGGGTGGGGAGACGCGGGTGCAGTTGGAGGTGTGGCCCGAGGCGAGGGCGCATCATAATGTGAAGGAGTGGCTTGAGGCGGAGGGGTGTGGGGAGGCGGAGTGGAGGCATCCGAGTGAGTTTTTGTGATGGGTTGCGATGGGGCACGCGATGGGTTGCAAGATGGGCCGTGGTCGGTCCGCGGCTTTGATCCCGTCCGGACACTCGAAGGACGAGAGGCTCGCCCGACGAGGGTCGACTGCGCGCCCTTCCTTCGGCGGCGTGCCGCGCTCGGGCTGATACGCGGTTCGTGCTTTGCTCGCTTTGGTTTGCTTTGATTTTCGTCGGGTTTGTTGGTTATCGTATATCAGGATTCGGTGGTCCGTGTCGTCTGTTTGCTACGGAACCTTTGTTCGTTCGTGTGGGTACGGTAGGACGAGTCCACGCGCGATTGTCTATTGGACAGAGGAATACAGATGAATGTTTTCCTCACTGCACGCGTGATATTTCGACGAGAAAGAACATGCATAGTTGGACTGGTATCGACACGTACGTACGACGATAATGACAAACTCGTATTCCTACACTTCGCTGCGTCCTGTGCTCATCGCTCCTCGTGTCCGGCCTCACCAATGCAGGCGATGCGTGGGACAGTGGTACCCCGATGGGTTCTTGTGGAGGTACTCCTGGTGGTAGTCTTCGGCGTCGTACCACGGCCCAGCGGGTACGATCTGGGTGACGATCTTCTTGCCTGTGACAGATGACCTTGGTAGGAGCAGGGGGGACGAAGCAGCCACTCACCGATAGGGTCAAAATGCTTCTTCTGGACGTCGTCCGTGACGCGCTTTGCAATCTGGAGCTGCTCGGGGGAGTGGTAGAAGATCGCGGAGCGGTACTCTGCGCGGTGCGCGGTGCGCGGTGGACGACTGAACGACTGAAGGTGGAGGGAATGGACGTACGCGTGCCGGTGTCACGGCCCTGGGAGTTGAGCGTCGTCGGCTCGTGCGTCCTGTAGAAGAACTCTGCGCCGCTCAGCCCAAGCCTCTCCACCCGAGCCCCACACCGCCGCGGCGGCACTCACCAACAAGCTCGCCATACCCGACCTTGTCCGGGTCAAACTCGATCTGGAGCGCCTCGGCGTGGTCGGTGCGCCCGGTACACACCGTCGGATAGTCAGGATCGACGGCCTCGGGCTTCCCGCCCGTGAACCCGACGCGCGTGCGCAGGACGCCCTTGTCCTGCGCGATGGGGAAGTGTTGGAGGAAGATGTGCTCGACGCCCCAGAAGCAGCCCGCGGCGAAGGTCGCGAGCTCTGGCTGTTTGCCTGCGTGGGCGCACGGATGTGTTCAGCGTTTGTTAGCGTGGGGAGGGGCGGGAAGAGACGCACCGGACATGGTGAGAGTGCTTGCGGTGCGGGGCTGGGAGGCGTGGCCGGCGAGGGAGAGGAGGGAAAGGCGCAGGCGGCTGGCGGCGGTGCTCAGCATGCGGGTGGATGGCGAGCTCGGCGTGCGCAACGGCGAGGGCCATCTCGCCATCGGTGGCGCGAGCGCACGTGACCCCGTTGACGCGCTTGTGGCCACGCGTCCTCTGCGACGTGCTTCTTGTACGGATCCGCAGGGACCACGCGAGGGAGTCTCTATCGGACGTGCGGGGGCTGCGCTGTGCGGCGCGCTTGCTTCCTCTCCAGAGTTCTATTCATTCCAGTACTTCTCCGCCGATGCAGACTCCGTGGTCTTCATCCGAGCAGATGCAGGTCTTCAATCGCTTTCCGCACGATGGCGACGGCAATACGGTTACTATAGTATGAAATCAACTCATTGCATCCTATCTCATTTCCTTCCGCCTTACTCTTCCCTGGTCCTCTTTGGTCAATATACATCCTGTTCGTCTTTTCTCGTACTCTCCGCATGCTATCGGCCAGGGTCCTAATGTAACTCTTCATCTTAGGAACAGACCCTCCGCATACAAGAACCGACATCAAACACGTACCTTGTCCGGATGCAGTGCAGTTTCAATAGATGGGTATATCCCACTTCGTTATGGAAAAACCCCAGTCATGCCAAGTGTCCCCCCCATTCCGTACATACGCACCTATGAAGGCTGATACCGTCGGCCTGCACCACTTCGCCCCGCCTGTCCTCCAACCACTCCTTAGCCACAGCATCATCTCGCCTACTTCACGAGCATCCACCACGACTGGCAGCTGCCACACTGCATCCAGCTCGCCAGCAACAGCACCCGCGCCAACGGCGACCTCGACAATATCCGCGGTGCGCGAATCATCCAGAGAACTCCTCACCGCTCGGACATCACTCCATTCATTCTCTCCAAAAAGGCATTTTCCCGGATTAGCCGCATACTACCTTCGACAAGGCAAGGCACGACAGCGCAACTTCAGACCCTGAGGCCTGGACCTGGGCCTTCCCAGCAATCCTGCTCAATGTCTATTCAGTAAATCTCAGTGTCGCGCAGGAGGCGATCGTAAAAGCGCGTCATCTTACCTCTTCCACGCTCGGATCGGATCTCACTAACCGTTGATGTAGACATGGTTACTCTCCGCCAAGGCACGAACGGACAAACGTAAAACGTTCTGGACCCGAACAGTCCATCTATGTACGTACGAGGCGCGCTACGTAACACTACACGCCTCTCTGTACGTCTTTACGCGAGCAAGGAACAAATGAAACGACGAACGCCTTCATTTTGTCCTTCTCCCCCAGGGGCGCTTGCGCTTATCCTCCAGCCCGTCCTACTCTTTCATAACCCCTGAATATTGAACGTTGAACCCCTGGAAACGTATCCCCACCTACTCAACCTCGTCCATCTATAGGTACCCCGGGATACCCCGCATCCATTGTACCCGTGTCGACTCGGACAAGCCACTGCCATCGACGCCAAGTGAAAATGTACTCCATGGACCCCAATCGCAATTCAGTCGATGCAGAGCCTCGCCCTCATATACGCGCAGGTCGTTGGGACCCTGCACTCTGACCACGGAAATGGGCAGTCACGCTCGTGCGCATGGTCTCGTCTTGCCACACTTATTTGCGCCAAATTTGGTCTTGGTCTTGTTCGCGTTCGAGCACATATCGCGTCGCATCGCTGAAGCCTCTCAATAAACCACACGATCAGTCAGGACGCAGAGCGCGGGAGCCGTCGACCGATGCGTCTCGCCGCTTGGTCCAGACAAGCAAGCCCAAAACGGTGCCCAGCGACCATCGTCGCTATCCGCGCACGGCCCGCCGCGCTCCCTCAGCTGGCTTTGACGAGACGAGCACCTCGCATGAAACAGCGCATGTTCGCCACGGACGACGCGCGCCGCGCGGATCTCCCGTCTCACGCAGGTCTTATCCTGCGCTTCCTCCTTGTGGGCATACTGTTCTGCAGGCTGCCGCCATTGTATGGGCGGGTACATTGCAAGGGTCTCGAACCAGAGCAGGACGCGTCCACGCGCCGTCAGGCTAGTGCATGCGTCCCTCCTGTTCGAGCTGCAGCACAGTGACTCAACCAGGCAGCCGTGCGTCTTACCGGCTGCCCATCGCGCAGAGAGATACCTGCGCTGACGTTGAAAACGGGAGCGCACAAAGCGGCCTTGGATGTCGATCGCACGCGCTGTTTTTATTTTGCACATGTGTACATATCACGACGACTTTGTGGACTATGAGCTAACCTCGAGTACATACAATGTACGTCAACCTACGATAGATACGAGAAGAGCCCACAATAACACGAGCAAAGGAGCGAATAAGATCATTCATCCTCTAACAATGTGAGGGGACAAAAGCGGATTCCACTTGGCGGCAGCACTCAATACGCCATCCCGGTACACCTTATCTCTGTCGGGAGACCCGTCGTTGGCGAGGCCGCCCACTTTTGCCCGCTTTGCGTGGACGGCCAACAGCCGCTGATCGGGCGGAGGTGCAGGTCGGCGCCGCGTTCGCTCGTGAACCCGTTATTCCGCAGGCTATTGCGCGCATTGAACCTGACAATGCAACATCGTCTAGATCAGCAACGACATCCAGCCATACCCCACGGGAAACGTACATGGCCATGAACGAATTGACGTAGACTGCAACAGTTGACGATGAATGTCAGTCGATGCGTGGGTGAGCCTTGCGTGGGAAGGCGCACTCACGCTTCGTGACCATGAACTCGACGCTCAGCACCGCGAACGTATCCGGGAGCGCCGCCATCTACCGATCCAGTCAAACTGCGAATCCGTATCCCAAATCTCTGTGCGCGAACGCTCACCATCGCCATCGCCGTCAACGAGCACAGGCTGTACAGATCCACCGTAAGTCAATCCGAGACACGCGCCGCGTACGCATACTCGTAGGACCTTACCTCGTGACGATCCCAGTGTTCACCGTGAACAACATCAACACCGAGATCGTCGAGTCCATCCTGCGCAATCACAGATGCACAACAACAGTGAGCAGGAATTGGCACCCCCTACAAACCGGAAGATGCGTACTTGGAATGGCCTGTGCGGCAGCGCCGCAGGAGATAACAGAGAGCGGACGCGAAGATCGCGTCGATGCACGTCGCCGCGCCCAGCGGTAAGTACGTCACCCACTGAGTGGATATCCAGTCAGCCGATGGCAGAGGACGAAAAAGCTGGACGCTCACCCTCGCGGCGAGGAGGTCGGTGTATTCATGGAAGCGGACGCTGCGGGCGCGTGAACGACAGGCGGCGGTGGGATGTGGAGATGTGCTTACATCTCGTAGCAGAGTGCTTTACAATTGCAATGAGATGTCAGACGGAACGCGCGACGACAGAGGTACACTCACTGATCACTGCGCCTGATCCCAGCAGAACGGACAATCACCACGGTCAAGCCGCACGCTTCACCTCGATATCGACGACGAGCACATACCGTAGCCTAGAATGACGATGACGGTCTGATAGCACGGTTCAGTGATATACAGGCCCGTAAAAACACGAGCCACGTACGACTGCGACGCGGAGGAACTTGAGGAACGCTGAAGGGCGGCTGTCTGCCATGCTGACTAGCCCGGCGGTGCACATCAAGGGCATGGATGGGTAGATCGCATCGATAGTCTGCATCAGTATCATATCATTGATAGACAATGAGAATGGTACATACGTTTCCATATCCGCACGGTGTATAGCCTAGTGATACAGACGATGTCAATGTCCGAGCTTGCAAAAAGCATGCATGAGAATGTCCACTCACGAATGCACCGAGATCACGACGATCGCCTAAGCAGATGCAAAGTCACCTGAGCAGAAGATAATCGCCCCAATGAACTTACATCTACAATGATTTGTGCCTGCGTTTTGTACCTATCAGTTTTCAGACGATCTCTCTCACACAAAAAAAAGAGGACACTTACTTTGAACGTCCATACAATGACCGTAAGTTCTAAAGGATTGAAGTAGTTGGTGACTAGGTACCAGTAGACCATGTGTACGACGAATGCCAAGTGGACCGCATCTAAAAGCCTGCACCGAGTAGCATCAACACTCGCGCAGGAGGAATGACTAATGCGTCGCACCAGAGCCAGCAGACAGTGAGCTTGCTCCACACTCCGTCACTCGAGTACCTTTGGAAGTAAATGAACGCCTGCAAATTGGTCACCCCGAACAACCTGAAGGGGTTTCAGCTCCTCAGCTTGCGTAAGATAACCGAGAGAGCTCACACGGCGGACACGAAGGCTCCGATAAGTACCGCTCCGTACGTCGCATCGAGCTCTCCCATGGTCGTGGAGATGACGGTCGGCTATGCGCACAACAGCGAAAGACAGAATCTGGTGAGCCACGATGAACCCTGTGTCGGTATATGTAATCTCCGCATGGGAAGATGTCTTTGATGAACAAGTCAATAACGTCGCTTCTACAGTTCACATCAATGATACATGACACCGGCGAGGAAAACTTCACACATATGGTGACAGCTCGTGCAACGGCACTGTATTTTTTTCCTGCAATTTGCGGGGTACAGCATGAGCAACGTCGAACCAGGGGCAGCTGATGTGTGCGACACGAGGGGGTGCACATGTCTCGCAGGAGGATTAGGCAAGAAGCATTCTGTGAGTGACAGCGTAGACACGTTCTGTGTTTGATGCACTTTGACGGATGGTCGTCAGGCCCCAGATTTCATTGTCGAGACGCCGCCGTGCCTGTCAATCCGTGCATTGATAATGTTCTAACAATCGCCGCTTCTTCGTACGGACCCTCCCAGATGAGGCGGATGTTGTCTGCCACAAAACACGCCGACAATCTCGTCATGTTCTGTTCGCATCCACAGCCTGCAGAGTGAGAATGTCCATGACAGTCTGAGTATAGTCAGATACCAGCGCAAACTAATGATCTACAAAGACCTCAAGATTAGAAGGTTATGCATGCTGGAACAACGCGAGGGGGAGGGTAAGAGCAGACTTGACCCAGCGCCAGCGCCAGCACTCCCTCCTCACCATCTAATATGCTATCCCGATGTGCGCAACCTCCGTCAGGAGACCCGTCATCGGCGAGGCCGCGTACTTCTGCTCAATTTTATGTGGGCTGCCAGGAGCCGCCGATCGAGCGAAGGTGCAGGTCGGCGGTGCGTTCGCTCGCAAAACCGTCACTCCGCAGGCTGTTGCGCGCGTTGAACCTGACAACGGAATATCGTCTGGCTTAGCGATGCCATTCAGCCGTACCCCGCGAGAACGTACATGGCCATAAACGAGTTCACGTAGACTGCGAAAGCCGACGATGAATGTCAATCAATGCATGCGTGAGGTCTGTCGGTGGGAGGGGCACTCACGGTGCGTGACGATAAGGTTGACGCTTATCGCTGCGAACGTATCCGGGAGCGTTGCCAACTCACAATCCAGTCAAATTATGATTCCGGATCACAAGTATGTGCATGAGCGCTCACCATCGCCATCGCCGTCAACGAGCTCAGGCTGTACAGATCCATGATAAGCCGATATAATGCACGCGCCGCATCCCTGTAGGACCTTACATGGTAAGGATGCCGGTGTTCACCGTGAACAGCATCAGCACCGAAATCGTCGAGTCCATCCTGCGCAATCACAAATGCACAATAACAGTGAGCAGAACTCGGCAATCTCAATGAATCGGAAGACGCGCACTTCGAATAGCCCGTGCGACAGCGCCGCAGGAGATAGCAGAGCGAGGACGCAATGATCGCGTCGACGCCCGTCGCCACGCCGAGGGGGAAGTATGTCACGTACTAGACATACGGTCAACCGATGGCAGAGAACGATAAGGCTGGACGCTCACCCTCGCGGCGAGGAAATCGCTGTATTCGTGGAAGCGGACGCTGCATACACGTGAGCGACAGACAGTGGTGGGATATGGAGGTGCGCTTACATCTCATAGCAGAGTGCTGAGCAGTTGCGGTCAGACGTCAGGTAAAAGGGCGATGGCAGAAATGCCCTCACCGATCAGTACGCCTAGTCACAGCAGAGCGAATAATCACCATGGTCAAGACGTGCGCTTCACCTCGACATCGACAGCGAGTACGTACCATAGGCTAGAACGACAATGGCGGCCTGAAGCGCGTCTCAATGACGTGCAGGCTGGCACAAACACGAGACACATACGACTGTAACGCGGAGGAGCTTGAGGAACGCTGGAGGGCGGCTGTCCACCATGCTGAATGCCACGCTGACTAACCCGGTGGTGCGCATCAATAGTGGAGATGGATAGATCGTGTAGATGGCCTGAATCAGTATCGTATTATTGGTAGATAGTGAGAGCGATACACACGTTGCCATACCCGCATGGCGTATAGCCTAGTGATACCGACGATGTCAATGTTCAGCCTTGCAAACACATGTACGAGAATGTCCACTCACGATTGCACTGAGATTACGACGATCGCCTGCGCGGATTCCGAGTCACATCTGCAGAAGATGTTCGCACGAAGAGCTTACATTTACCATGACTTGAGCCTGTGTCCCATCGCTGTCAGTCTTCTGATGATCTCAAAGGAAGAGGACACTTACCTTGAACGTCCATACGATGACCGCGAGCGCTGAAGGATTGAAATAGTTGGTGACAAGGTACCAGTAGACCATGTGTATGACGAACGCCAAGTGAATCGCATCTACAAGCCTGTGACGAGTAGCACTTAACATTCGTGCAGATGGAACAACTAATGAGCCTTACCAGAGCCAGCAGACGGTGAGCTTGCTCCACACTCCGTCACTCGAATACCCTTGGAAGTAAATGAACATCTGCAAGTTGGTCACCCCGAACAGCCTGAAGGAGTTCAGCTCGCCAGCCTGCATGGAACGTTCGAGAGAACTCACACGGCGCACACGAAGGCTCCGATGAGCACAGCTCCATACGTCGCGTCGAGCTCCCCCATGGTCGCGTAGATGACAGTCGACTTCGCGCACAACAGTGGGAGATAGGATATGGCGAGACAGGACGAACCCTGTGTCAGTATATGTAATCCACGCATGGGAAGATGTCTTTGATGAACAAATCGACAGTGTTACGCCTGCAAGTTCTTCACCTGAAACAGCCTGAGGGGAGTTCAGCTCGTCAGCCTGCATGGGATGTTCGAGAGAACTCACATAGCGCACGAACGCTCCGATGAGCACCGCTCCTACGTTGCGTCGAGCTTCCTCAAGGCCGCGGAGACGATGGTGGGCTAAGCACGCAACATCGGGAGACAGGATATGGCGAGCCACAACAAACCCTGTGTCAGTACATGTAATCTTCGCATGGGAAGATGTCTTTGATGAACAAGTAAACAGTGCTGCCTCCACAGTTCACATCAACGATACACGATACCGACGAGGAAAACTTCACACCTACCCTGTATATTTGTTCTGCAATTTGCGGAGTTCAGCATGAGTGGCGTCGAACCAGGAGCACTGAGATGTACCACACCAGGGGGAGCACATGTGTTGCAGGAGGACTAGGCAAGGAGCATTCTATGAGCGACAGCGTAGACACGGTCTGTGTTTGAAGCACTTTGACGGATGGTCGTCAGGCCCCGGCTTTCATTGTCGAGACGCCGTCGTGCTTCTCAATCGGTGCATTCAAGTCTAACGATCTCTGCTTTTTTGGAGCCTACGAATGAGCCCTCCGGAAGAATCCTAGTCATGCTGACATTCTCGTCATTTTCTGTTCGCATCCACAGCCTGCAGAGTAAAAATGCCCATAACGGTCTGAGTATAGTCTGCAAACTAATGTAATACAGAGGGCTACAGATGTGCTTGTCACATTGCGGGAACTCAATTTTCGTGCTGAGACAGGAAACATTCGGAGCAACGCAGCTTGCATTCCTTTTACTTCTCAAAAGATGGGAGGACTTGATGAACCAGAAACGCCTGAGCACTTCGAGGATCTCAATACAGAAAGCCAACAGCATAGTTGTGTTCGTGTCGCAGCAGAAATCAAACAAGCGTTGTGGCACCAGCAAGCGAGCACAAAGGGCGCTTATCGCACTGGGCCACTTTCCGGACACTCCGCGAACACTATTCAGCCGTGAGGAATGAATATTAATATTGAATTTTAATGGTCAGTCAGCGCTCGTGTGCATGGTCTCGTCCTCAGGTCCCGGAAAAAAATAGCTACACCTCTTTGCGCTAAGTTTTTGTGTTCGCAGTTCGCGTTCGAGCACTTGTCGAGGTATCATAATACGAGCGCACGTACCAGGGTGGATAGCAATGCTAAGGCCTTATAAGGTCTGTTGATGAATCGCACAATCAGGACGCAGCTTGCGAGAGCTGTCGACTGACGCATGTTGCTCACTGGCACGCACGGGCGCGAAGCGACGCCCAATAACCATAGCCGCTATCCACGCACTGCCCGCCGCGCCCCTTCAAGCTGCGCCTAGCGAGACAAGCACCGTGCATAAAATGGTGAGACTTCGTCACACACGACGCTGTGCCACGCGGATCGCGCGTCTCTCATGCAGGTCTCATCTTGTGATTTATCCTTCAGAGCATGCTCTTCTACAGACTGTCGCCATTGTACGGGTGGTATCTTGCAAAGCTCGAGACCAGAGCAGGATGCGTCGACGTGCCGTCAAACCAACGTATGCGTCCCCTCTGCTGGAGCGCCAGTCAAGGTGCATTCGCTCGCAAACGCGTTACTCCTCAGGCTATTGCGTGCGTTGAACCTGAGAATGCAATATTATCTGACTTAGCGATGCCATTCAGCAATATCCCGCGGGAACGTACATGGCCATAAACGAGTTCACGTAGACTGCGACAATCGACGATGAAGGTCAGTCAATGCATGCGTGAGCTCTGACAGTGGGAGGGGCACTCACGGTGCGTGACGGTAAGATTGACGCTGATCGCCGCGAACGTATCCGGGAGCGTTGCCAACTCACAATCCAGTCAAATTATGATTCCGGATCACAAGTATGTGCATGAGCGCTCACCATCGTCATCGCCGTCAACGAGCACAGCCTGTACATATCCATAGTAAGCCGATGTGAAGCACGCCCCGCATCCCTGTAGGACCTTACGTGGTGAGGATGCCGGTGTTCACCGTGAACAGCATCAGCACCGAAATCGTTGAGTCCATCCTGCGCAATCACAAATGTACAATAACAGTGAGCAGAACTCGGCAATCTCAATGAATCGGAAGACGCGCACTTCGAATAGCCCGTGCGGCAGCGCCGCAGGAGGTAGCAGAGCGCGGACGCGATGATCGCGTCGACGCACGTCGCCACGCCAAGGGGGAGGTACGTCACGTACTAGGCATACGGTCAACCGATGACAGAGAACGATAAGCCTGGACACTTACTCTCGCGACGAGGAAGTCGGTGTATTCGCGGAAGCGGCTGCTGCGGCCGCGTGAGCGACAGACGGTGGTGTGATACGGACGTGCGCTTACATCTCATAGCAGAGTGCTGTGCAGTTACGGTCAGAGTCAGGCAAACGCGCGATGGTAGAAATGCCCTCACCGATCAGTACGCCTGGTCACGCAGAGCGATTAATCACCATTCAAAATGAGCGCTTCACCTCGACGTCGACAGCGAGTACATACCGTACGCTAGAATGACAATGACGGCCTGAAGCACGTCTCAGTGACGTGCAGGCTGGCACAAACACGAGACACGTACGACTGTGATGAGGAGGAACTTTAGGAACGCTAGAGCGCGGTTGTCCACCATGCTGAATGCCATGCTGACTACCCGGTGTTGCACATCAAGAGTGAAGATGGATAGATCGTGTAGATGGCCTGCATCAGTATTGTATTATTGGTAGACAATGAGAGCGATACACACGTTTCCATACACGCACGGCGTATAGCCTAGTGATACCGACGGTATCAATGTTCAGCCTTGCAAAAAGCATGGATGAGAATGTCCACTCACGACTGCACTGAGATTACGACGATCGCCTGCGCGAAATCCGAGTCACATCCGCAGAAGATGTTCGCTGAAGAGCTTACGTTTAACATGGCTTGAGCCTGTGTTTGGTAGCTGTCAGTCTTCTGATGGTCTCAAAAGATGAGGACACTTACCTTGAACGTCCATACAATGACCGCGAGCGCTGAAGGGATGGAATGGTTGATGACGAGATACCAGTAGACCATGTGTACGACGAATGCCAAGTGAATCGCATCTACAAGCCTGTAACGAGTAGCACTTAACATTCGTGCAGATGGAACAACTAACGAGCCTTACCAGAGCCAGCAGACGGTCAGCTTGCTCCACACTCCGTCACTCGAATACCCTTGGAAGTAAATGAACATCTGCAAGTTGGTCATCCCAAACAGTCTGAAGGGAGTTTAGCTCGCCAGCCTGCATGAAATGTTCGAGAGAACTCACACAGCGCACATGAAGGCTCCGATGAGCGCGGCTCCATATGTCGCATCGAGCTCTCCCATGGCCACCGCGATGACGGTCGGCTGGGTACACAAGAAGGGGAGATGAGATACGGCGAGCCAGGACGGACCCTGTGTCAGTATATGTAATCCACGCATGGGAAGGTGTCCTTGATGAATAAGTCAACAGCGCTAAGCCTGCAAGTTCCTCACCCCGAACAGCCGGAAGGGAGTTCAACTCGCCAGCCTGCATGCGATGTTCGAGAAAGTCACACGGCGCACATGAAGGCTCCGATGAGCGCGGCTCCCCACGTCGCGTCGAGCTCTCCCATGGCCGCGGAGATGACGGTCAGCTAGATAAACAAGAACGAGGGACGAGATACAGCGAGCCAGGACGGACCCTGTGTCAATATATGTAATCTTCGCATGGGAAGGTGTCCTTGATGAACAAGTCAACAGCGCTAAGCCTGCGCGTTCTTCACCCCGAACAGCCGGAAGGGAGTTCAGCTTGACAGCCTGCATGAAATGTTCGAGAGAGCTCACATAGCGCACGAAGGCTCCGATGAGCGCCACTCCGTGCGTGACGTAGTCATTCACATGCGAAGATGTCGTTGATGTACAAGTCAACAGCGCTACTCCTGCAAGTCCTTCACCCCGAACAGTATGAAGGGAGTTCAGCTCGTCAGACTGCATAGGATGTCCGAGAGGACTCACACGGTGCACGAACGCTCCGATGAGCACCACTTCCTCCCTGGTGCTAGTCGCGTCGAGCTTCCTTATGGCCGGGGGGTGAAGGTCGGTTGGGCACATTGGTAACAGCGAGAAATAGGATATGGCGAGACAAGACGAACCTGTATCGGTATACTGTGTAACCCCGCGTGGGAAGATATCTTTGACGAACAAGTCAACGGCGCTGCTTCCACAATTCGCACGAGGAAATCTTCACACCTACAATGACAGCTCATGCGCTCATGCACAAAACTTTTTTTTTTTCATCTGCAGTCTGCGGGGTGCAGCATGAGTGGCGTCCGACCAGGGGCACCTGATGCGCGCTAACACCGGGGAGAGCACATGTCTCACAGGAGGACTAGGCAAGGAATATTCTGTGAGCGACACCGTAGACAGGATCTGATACAACACGAGGCTGTGTTGATGAAAAATCGCTGCTTAATGGATGATCGACGGTCGTCAGCCCCCATTTTCCTTGTCGAGATACCCCGATGTGCTAATGTTCGCTGTTTCTTTGGAGCCTACAAATGGACCCGATGTGTGTATGGTCTGCCACAAATTATGCCGATAATCTCGTCATTTTTGGTTCGCATCCGCAGGAAGCTCGATGCAACGTAAGGAGCGGTGCTCATCGGAGCGTTCGTGCGCTATGTGAGTTCTCTCGAACATCCCATGCAGGCTGACGAGCTGAACTCCCCTCAGGCTGTTTCAGGTGAAGAACTTGCAGGCGTAACACTGTCGATTTGTTCATCAAAGACATCTTCCCATGCGTGGATTACATATACTGACACAGGGTTCGTCCTGTCTCGCCATATCCTATCTCCCACTGTTGTGCGCGAGGTCGACTGTCATCTACGCGACCATGGGGGAGCTCGACGCGACGTATGGAGCTGTGCTCATCGGAGCCTTCGTGTGCGGAAATAAATGAACGTCTGCAAGTTGGTCACCCTGAACAGCCTGAAGGAATTCAGCTCGTCAGCCTGCATGGGGTGTTCGAGAGAACTCACACGGCGGACACGAAGGCTCCATACGTCGCGTCGAGCTCCCCCATGGCCGCGGAGATGACGGTTGACTCGCACACAAGAGCGGGAGACAAGATACGGCGAGCCAGGATGGACCCTGTGTCAATAGATGTAATCTTCGCACGGGAAGGTGTCCTTCAAGTTGATGACAAGTCAACAGCGCTAATCCTGCAAGTTCTTCACCCCAAACATCCGGAAGAGAGCTCAGCTCGTCAGCCTGCATGAGATGTTCGAGAGAACTCACATAGCGCACAAAGGCTCCGATGAGCGCCACTCCGTACGTGGCGTACTCTTCACATGGGAAGATGTCGTTGATGAACAAGTTTACAGCGCTATGCCTGCAAGTTCTTCACCCCGAACAGTATGAAGGGGGTTCAACTCGTCAGGCTGCATGGGATGTTCGAGAGGACTCACACGGTGCACGAACGCTCCGATGAGCACCACTCCGTACCTGGTACTAGTCGCGTCGAGCTTCCTCATGGCCGGGGAGGTGAAGGTCGGTTGGGCACATGAAATAGGATATAGCGAGCCATGTATCGGTATATTGTGTAACCCCCGCATGAGAAGATATCTTTGACGAACAAGTCAACAGCGCTGCTTGCACAATTCACACGAGGAAACCTTCACACCTACGATGATAGCTCTATATGCTTTTGTTCTGCAGTCTGCTGGGTGCAGCATGAGTGGTGTCCGGCCAGGGGCACCTGATGCGTGCTACATCGGGGAGAGCACATGTCTCGCAGGAGGACTAGGCAAGGAACATTCTGTGAGCGACACCGTAGACAGGATCTGATACAATACAGGGCTGTTTTGATGAAGAATAGCTGCTTGATGGATGGTCGATGGTCGTCAGCCCCAGTTTTCCTTGCCGAGACACCACGATGTGCTAACGTCGCTGCTTCTTCGGAGTGATAAATGAGGCTGTGTGCTACCAGCAGCAGGCACAGGCTTGACACTATGCAGTGAGGACTTAGTGGGCAAGGCTACAAGACTCCCAATGAAGGGGTCGAGTCTCTCAGTGGAGAAGTCACTATAGATTGTGGTGTAGCTACCT